TTGATTTTGACTTTCAAATTATTCAAATACCAATTACACTCTCGAAATAATTCTCTTGCGATATTCCGAATGAAGAGCCTGAAGTTGGAAATTTAGTGATGATTGTTATAACCCATTCAGCACCGCCATATATTCGAGGGGAACCATTCGCTTTCTTTGTGAATGTGATGGTGAATCATATTGCTAATAAAGGGATGGGATTTAGAGTTAATAACAGTGTTCGTTTGGTCGCTTTGGTGGTGTACATGATAGGTGACTTTGAGATCAAAGGACAAGGAATGTGTCTAGTCCCTCCAGTGTTCAAGTCCAGTGATCATGGAGCACATAGAGTATTGGCTACTATGATTACTATGGGCACCTGCTTTATTCACAACCTCGAAAGTTTTATGGATTTCATCATTCTCACTTAGTGTCAACTTCACGCGGTAGTAGTGTGCATTGAATTGTAAGCTATCGTCACAAACCTCTTGTTTTAGTATTTTGTGCAAAGTTCTACGTTGAAACTCAGTCTGTCGTTTTCAAACGTTTCACTTCCAGCGTCGGTAACAATCAGTCATATAATTTTGCGATTTTATTCGAATCAATCAAAAGTCATACGACATGTCTAACCAACTTCAGGTCTCACTGTGGTTAGTCAGTTTCATAAGAACGCCCAGCATATTACGAATATCTGAGATGTTGAATGATATTTTAAGAGAACTTCATTCATTTAGTCCCCAGACATCCTAAGACAAGTATTCTTGTTCACCAAATTTGGTTTGTGTGAAGTTTGTTGGAAATTCGAATCGATGCAAGGTAACCTGGAGTTCAGTCTTGCAAGTGTATTCGAGGTTGTATTCGGAAATCCTCAACTATGTCACTGACTACAGGGAAGATGTGAACTTCGTCATACTGAAACGTTAATCATTCGAGTTGTTATGAAACAAGTTTTCCTGCTACAAACATACAGGGTCGATGTGATTATTATAATTGCCAAGGGTTTTAGAATTTGTGCCCACTGTGATGCTTAATTCAACCTGAAAACAGCAAACTCAAGAGAACCAGTCTACATTCAGACCTGAATGCAGGGGTATTGACCAGAGGTCAAATGTATTTCGCTTCGCAACTCCAGAATACGCATAATGTGACAGTCGAAATAGTCAGCCAACTTAATCACTTTCCTTCCCATATATTGTGAGTTAGTCTCAGTATGACAAGTTGCATTGAAGAGTTGATAATCACCTATCCTTATTCAACAACAGCGGTATTTCTTACACACGATAAGTGAAGTTACATTTTTCACGTAGAATGCAATAGTGCAGATATCTGTCTTCAGCTGCTTCACTGCACTCAGTGTTTATTATAATACTGTGTACGAGCTAAGATGTCTGACACAGTGGTTACACCGTGTGTCAATCTTGATGACCTGGATGCTTGTTTCACAAACAAGTCATTGATGCGTATCTTTATTGGACGTTCAGTTATTATCTTCACTGACTAATCTTAATGCATGCTCTCTTGAAAAGTGTCTATGACTGACTACTTCTTATTGTATGTCTTGTGAAGCGTTAGAAGCTGTGTGCAATTCAAATGAAAATGTGTAGGTTGAGTATGCAATAAATAAGACATTTTAGATTTCTAGAGAACTGGATATTACACATCCATGTTTATTGCATCGATTTATTGGTTCTGACAAATTATTGTTATCGTTATTATTATTATTACTTTTATTATTGATATTAACACTTGTATTACTGTTAGTGATCACAGTGTACGAATGATGAAACAAAAGAGATGACTTCGTTTTGACTGTTACTTCTTTAACTATGAAAAAGACAGCACAGATACACCGATAATCGAAGTTAATTTGTCATCATGGTTGCTGAACCTTAAATGGTGCAAGAAAGAAAGAAGAATGCAAGATAAGTTATCGGGGTATATCTGTTTATACACATTCACAAAACGAAAAACACATGCATGATTTCCTACTTGAATGACTAATTGACTGACTGACTGAATTCCTGAATGACTTGACTGACAGAATTCACACCGATGTCCTACAGAATTCTTCAAGATATCTTTGCAGTTATGCTAAACAGGTTGTAGACATTTCTTCACAACGTTGTGTAAAACAACAACTGGTCTAAGTTAAAAGAAACCCACCCACATTGAGCCAGTAGTCGAGTTCGCATATCGCAATCACCTAACTAGCCACACAGGCTGTAAACAATGTTCTTAAGCTTCTACTATGTCAGAAATGTCGTCTGGATAGCCATTAGCCTGAAAACACTTACCGTAATAGTGTGATTCGTTTACTCTATCTTAAGGCTATGTGGGCGATTTTGTATTCCTGACAAGTGCAGGTGTAACGGCAATAAGGTGTTCACGTCGGACAATAAACAGGCCAGCTTTTCTGTCCCCCACTCTGGGAAAGACGGATATGTAATTGAGGTCGACCCCTGAGATTGTACATCCAAACTTACACCATGTCGACCAGGTCATCATGCAAATTTTATTACTTTTATTATTCTCATTATTATTATTATTATTACTGTTATTAATATTATTATCAATATCCTCATACCCCTAGGTTCTGAGTGAGAAGTAGTGCTTCCAAACCACATCCCCGTTCCATCCTCTTCTCTACACTCCGCTTTGACTCCATCCAACATTGCCAATAAGCTCACATTCCCTCCTCACACGATCTCCTCCATGTCACTCGCTTAGGTAGTTTCTTAGTTAGTTAGTCAGTCGGTCGGTCAGTCAGTCAGTTTGTTGGTTAGTTAGTTCGTCCCTTGTCTCCTACTTTCGTTTGTTTCTCCCTTGGTGCGTTCGTTGTCTAGTTAGTTGGTTAGGTGTCTTCATCATCTCTGTCTTCTCTATGTTCACGTGAAGTGCTATCTTCGCTGCTTCCTTTGACAGCTTGTTGATTTCCGCCTGTAGATCTTCGAGTTTGTGTGACATTTGGTTTGTGAATCACCTGATATGTAGCGTCATCATATCGCTGTTGAAGGAGCTCGATAAATGTTTGGGGAACATCAATGTGTTGGGATAGTTCCCAAATTACCTGACGGCCAACACTGGATTTTCAAAGTCAGTGAAGTTGAGGTAGAGATTTGACTGCTATTCTGTACTCTGCTCGACGACGATGATGTGTAGCGTCGCTATTCGATCCACACATGATTTTCTTTTCCTGAATCCTTCTTGTTCGGGGCATCGTTTTGCATCCACACCACTTCTTTGTCTCTCCAGGATGACGCGACTCGATATTTTGCTTGACATGGACAACATAATGACTCCACGCCAACTCTTGCAGACGCCTATTCGCCCTTCTTTGATAGTTTGACAAGGTAGTCCTTCTTCCGATCAACAGGCGCCTTTCCCTCCTTCCTTCCCTCCGAATTCTCTGCGACAGTGACGTGAGGATATCCGCTGACGTCTCTGGATTCGTCTGGTCCAGCTTCCTTCCGAGTTTCCAGTAGCTTTATGGCACTCAAGACTTCCTCTTCTGTTGGAGGACTGGTGTCGAATGACAGCTCTGTGCCTGCTGTTGGTGGTATTTCTGAACGAGTGGTAGGTGGTGGTCGGTTCAACAGTCCATTGAGGTGGTCAGCCCATTGTTTGTTTTCTTTGTTTCTATCTCTCTCTCTCTCTTGGCAATTAGGTCCCCTTCACTATCCTTCGTTGCTTTAATCTGTGTTGATCTCTTCTCGGATGAGTACCTGTTTATCGGGTTTAACGTATTCTGACTATGGATCAGCCTCGTGGATTTTGGGTGTGTATTTGACTTAGTCTTTCTAAGTGAAAAACTTTTGAAATCGGGGGTCTTCTTATCAGATGTATAGGAGATCTTGACTTCAAATTGAAGAATGCGCTGAAGATGTCACCCCTTAGGGCGATGAAAGCTTTGCAAACTAACCATCCAGCTCAGAGAACAAAACCACATCAAAAAAGATCTTGGTGTGTTTGGCGTTTGATTTGCCCCTGCAAATTGTAAGTTATCTTTGGTGGTGTAGTGGTCTTTACCAACTCATCATAGTTCAAGGACAGGGAGTGGAGTGTTTGAGTGTGTCTGTTTTTACTTGTTTTTACTACACATATTCTTAGTATATAATTTATCATCGCCTCTTTTCTACACTGAATATTCCAATCCTGTAACTTCTTCTTTCAATCTGACTGCTAATACTTAAATAATCTGTGCAAGTTCTCTTATGAATGATGCATAATCCTCTTTCGATAGAGCCATTATTCTCAGCTGATACTCCATCACAACCAAGTTTTCACCGTGGTTGCTTGTGTGTGTGTACGCATGTGTGGGTGAACTGCAGTAATTACTTGTTAGCACTGGTAGGCAGGAGAAGACACACACAGAAACTCATCTTTCAATGCGTAAAGATGGACGGGTGTCAGAACGAAGTAAATGAATATTATTAAGCACTTATTTTTGTTATTTTCAAATTTCTTCCATTTCGCCAGAATTACTTTGATAGTCATCTCAGTAGTCTAGTCGACCATTTGAAGTGAATCCAGGTTGAACACACATTTCACAGGGTACATTAAACCAGGATAAATATATTCACCTCAGCCTGTTCTTATGTTACTGACAGACAGAATGTATTAATTATTTTCCAGCAGTTGACCATTTAAGACACTTCAGGTAACATCGATTGTGAATTGTCTTCAAGGTAAAAATGTCCTCTTCTTGATGAGGTGATGTGGTGATTGACTATTTCTATCTCTGTATTGTTTAAATACTTACTGTTGATTGTTAATATATTTCTTATATGAACTGAATAATAATTCCACTAAAATACAAATTCCTGAATTCCACCCCCTCTGTGTTTTGGTTGGATTCTTGTAATTCGGTCATCTCGAAATACTAATACCACTATTACAGAAAATTACAACAGGTGACTAATGCTTGATGTTTTGCTGCCTGGAAGCAGTATTCCTGAAATTTTTTGTAGTTGCATTTCCCATTTTAATGTTTCAAAAGAGTTAGTGACTACGGCGTGTTGTCTTTATGATAATAAAAGAATCACATTATGCATGTTAGAAGCTGCTGTGAGCATAATTAGCTTACCCTGACTTTCAAAAACTAGTAGATTAGCTTCTGATTTTCTAATTATTGTAGATACTAATAGTCGTGCTGAAAAAGAAGGAAAATAACTAGGTATTATTTTATGACGAATTGATTGTCGGGCATTATTATTGTCACTATTATTATTATTGGGAGATCGGTCTGCTTCTTGGCTCTTCCTGCGTTCGTAGATGCCGACAGGATTTCCAACATTAGCACCTAGCCAACACGGCTGTCTTAACAAATGATGTAAAGTTATCAACTTCTGGAATATTAAACCATGCTTTAACTGATTGATAACCAGTAAGTAATCAGCCTTGTCAAGCATTCCGAAATTGCATGCATTCACCAGGATAGTAAGAAAATAAAGTGCAACAGTTATAGTGTGGCAGAGGAGAAACACATCAATGACAACAAATGATTACTGTGACGGAATAAGCTGTTTGACAAAATATGCAGAGATGTAGACTGCACTGTTATTTTTCAGATGTCAGTTGACTTATGTCACAGAAACGACACATTCAACTTAGCACAAAAATGCATACTACGGAGGCAGGAAATGGACACTGACGAAAAATGGAGAGGATTCATAGACATAGAGACCTCAGTGAACATGCCTTTGCCATTACTACTAAAGATATGGAAGGAAGGATAGATAGTTAATTACCGATTTGGAGAAGGGTTTAGTCGTCAAACTGCAAAAGAACATCCACATAAACGCTTGCAATAATAAGCGCCGAACACGATCCTGTCTACTGCAAGCAAATACGAAACCACATCATCCAACAACAACTTGAAGATACTTCTGATGAAAACCTTCACCAGGAATGCATTAGACTCATGCAAAACAAGTCATGTACGGATCGAATTTCAACACTTCGCATCATCATCGGACGAAACATTCAACTGTCTACCTCAGCTACGTCGACATTGAAAAAGCCTATGTCGGCGTGGATCGCGAAATATTTTGGCAACTGCTTCGGTACCGCAGACTTCAAGATCACCAATGACTTGTATACTCTTCATTCAACAGTTATATGATAGTAGCATATGCCAAGTGATTCACTATGGAAAAGCAAAGCCTTTAGAAAGAAGACAAGATTAAGATGAGGTTGTCGAACATCATTGAACATCTTTCTGACTGAGGTCGATTGGATCATGTAGGAGACCGTGTCAAGTCAGTGTCTCTATGCAGTTCAGCGGCTTGGCGCTGGCGTCGCCGGTAGCACTCTCACACTCTCATCAAAGGCAACCTTCGTTGGATAGTGAAGATCAGATGGTCAGTAAGAAAGAATCAGTTGCAAGGAACTCTGTCACTGAACCAGATTCAAACCTGTTGCTCAAGAAATATGCAGAATGAAACAGAAATGAATTGTACATACATATATGCATACATACACTGAGGAGACCCACAAATGACATCGTGTGGAACCCAAATGGAGAGCAAAACTCGAGCGTCCGAGAGTAACACTGAAATCATGTGAGGAACAAAAGAAAACTTGTGGACAGTCATGAAGCCGAGTGGATTGATGACTGGAAACTGAGTGCAGTAGAGATTTGTTGCTCAAGCCACTCGGATAGAGAAGAATGAGCCATTATGAAAACAGTATTCAGGGCAACAGCCGAGATGAACGGCAGGAAATGGATAAAAAGAGGATGGAAAGAGGAGTGAAGTTATTAGAGATCTAATCCCATAAGGCATAGTATATCGCTTTAAAAATACTGCTAGGACACAGCGTGATCATTATTTCCTTTGACTTTGAGGCTAATCTGGAATGTTTCGAGTCAGCGAGTCACACGATTTCTAGCACTTCACTCTGCAAGTCGTGACTAAGTGACGGACGCTAAGCAAGCAGTACTATTCTCTTATGCCATCAATTGAGTGTCATTCCCCTCCTTTCTGTTTCTTCTTGGCCTACCACACAAGGAAGGATTCGAAGGCTTCGGAGATAACATCCTTGATATTCGTAAACTTACTAACTCCATGTTCAATTATTTATAGAAAGATAATCTCCACTAAACCCTAAAAATAACCATGTACCAACAAGAGGACATAAACAAATACTTTCTTTTCACTGTCAAACTCAGGTCATTCTACTGTCAGGATGTTGAAAGCAATAAGGTTAACCTTTGAAAGTGCTTACATGATAAAGTTAGAAATCTCACTGAAAATTAGATTTGTAAAGGTGAAGACTGGGTGATTTCAATAGAAATAAGTAGTTGAATACTATGCAATTTCAGTTGCAGACAACTCGAACAGTTTGAGTGTGACTACATTTCAGGAAATATCCTTCATCTTCACATATTCCTCCCGTTAAAATTGACTGCATCCTGTTACAGCGGAGTATCACTCATTACTGCTTATCACCTAACTTGACCAGAATCCGCCTCTAGACACGATGCTATAACCAACTGATCACTTAAAAATATTCCCCATAGTGAGATAGACACAAAAGTCAGATTTAACCACGAGAATAACGACAATAGCAACAACGCGTCATGCAGAAGTTAAAGTATCCTAGCCAAGGTCAAAACCTGTCAAACATTTACCTAGAAGAACCAATCAGGATTAGAAGAGGCTAAGAAAGGTCATTCCATATCAGGACCATGCCTGTTTTCATGGATTTGGTGAATGGATTCCATGAAGATCGAGTATTTGACGAGTGTGTCAATAAGTGATTAACTGAAGTCCCAAAGACACGCGCGTGTGTGGGTGTGCGAGACTATGATAATAAGACCATACAGTCATGTGGAAGATAAATGTTGCTGTAGACGCAGTTTATGCTATAAGGGAAAATCGGTTCGTGATAGTATGTAGAGTATTCCACTGATTCCAAGTATGCTTTTTCTGTTGAGCTCTAAGTTTAGGAGAAGGTTGAATAACAGAGGTGGGAATATCAGTGGATCCCATGATACCATGATCTACAGTCACCTAGACGAGCAGACCTACCTCACATGTTATGACATCTTTATGGATTATTCTTGGAGTAACTGGTGGACATTTTTCAAGGATTCAGAGACAACACCATGTTTCAAATCTTTCTAATAAATTTCTTAGCGAATATACCCCATCTTTGAAACCAAATTCTGATTGGCTGTTCAAGGTCAGCTTGATTTCCACTATGTACTTCGTCTGTCTTATTATTCAAAACACAGTGCATATATAGTTAACGAATTCTCGGAAATTTAAGCCAAAATAAACCAGTCAAAAGCTGTTCGATCAGCCTATCATCACCTCATTGGTGCATCAGTCATAACCTCACGGCTAACAACGATAAGTTGCCCGTCCCGACACATATAAAGAAAGGTGGATGTCTTAAGAAGTTGACTTACCATCACGTATGATCTTCAACTCATCTTCAGTTGCATAGTTTAGATCCCCAAGTAATTTTTCACTGCTGAATTCTTTGACGTCAGCATTCCCTGTAGTGGTAACAGAAAAATCAAATACTTTGTATGAATGAATCGATTTGAAAATAAAGGAGCCTATTTCCACCAATACACCATTTTATAAAACCTCAACCCTGATAGTTTATGCTTTGATTTTACTTTGACTGGTGCTCACATGACAGATGAGGAGAACGCGACATACACTTAGTGAATAGCTATCATCAAGAAGGTAGCATATTCACCTTTGTAGTCAGAAATCGACACAACCTCGAAAAAATATGAATAGTGGCATAGAGGAGGATCTGTAGCTCATCGTCCACACAGCTTTCAATCAAGTAAATCTTAAATGTTTAAACACTTATAACATACTACCACATTTTTCGAGTTCAACCCGGCTAACCGTTTAGTGAATGTTAGGATGTAGTGTAGAGTTCGGCTTCTGGATGTGCAGTCATTTGAGGCCTACTCGTTGTGATTGCTCAGTGTCACTTGTTTGAATGAACTGATTAAGAAAGTGGTGATAAAAACGGTTGTTTTCTTTCGTTTAACTATAGTATTCTGGTTGCATAACACTTCTGTACTATGGGTGATCATTATGCAGATTTATTCATTACATCCAACTGAGGACAAGATCTGTTATCATCATTGTCTTACTGATTCCTAAGAGTGGGGAATCCTTCTGCATCATATCTGATTAGGTATATGCAGGTTATTTTATCTTCTTTTATTGACTATTTGCACTTTGGTAACGCTAACTAAGTGTCTACCTGAACCTTCATTGATTCTCGTCATTAGCAATGCATTTTGTATATATTCATACACTGTGTTCAAATCAAGGTAACGGCTCAGTGCTGACTTGAATAGCCTGACAGGTCTACGAAAATTGCGTAGTAGTCACACGTTCATCAAGTATTTCAGTTTACTCAGTACACTATATGTCTGTAATCGTCACGATCTATTGGGTGAAAAGACTTCATATAATGACTGTTCAAGTCACTCCGCATTAATCTACTTCAAACACATATATGTATATACTTTAATGGGGCTGTGTTCAGTGGATAATAACTTGCAAATTAAGATGACATCGTCTTATCCCTACCTGAAATTTCATGCTAATTGTTTTTCAGTTGATGTCAGAAGAATTAAGTATGCTGTACGTTATGCTATTTCTTTCTCAAGTGATGTACAACTACTGACCAGAAAATGTCACTTTCATTGAAATACGGAGTTGATCGAAAAGACCAGATTGACCTCTCAAGATAGACGATGATGCTGTTGATTATTGTAGGGTTGTCGACTGTGACATATTCAAACATAGGCTGAGTGACTAAACAGCAGTCAAATAGTATGTAATATGACGATGGAGATAACCATGTTTCAAAGTTGTGATGTCTTAAACTAAGTGCTCAATAATCAACTAAAGTCACCTGAATGTCTTGATATCACATATTTCATATCCATCTGTTGAGCATATCGCCAACCCAACTGGAAATGCATATATTCAATCTGTGAACTAAGTTGAGCGGTACAGTAAGAAACATTAACAATGAGCACTTCAAGTTCTGATTTGCCTCACACAGAGACACCCCCACCACCAACAACTATTCGAATTATTTCTCTGTTTGTTGCATTTAAGCCCGAGACAGATTATTCACTTACTTATTTAGAACTGAAAATTTCTCTTTTTAGTGATGGAAAAAGTCATCAGACCTAAGTGGCTTCCTATTGTTTATCCAAAACTTTTGTAAATATTATTAAACTCTAGTTACCCAGTGAAGATTCCCACACTTTCCTGAGAACCACATCTTCCGATGTTCGCTTCTCTGGATCACTTCGAACTGGATAGTTGAATCACCAGATTCCACTGTCACTGTTTAGCGATAATTCAAATGAATAATGAGAACACTTCCTCACTATTGCATAAAATATTGCCAAACAATGGCCAGAGACAGGATGCAGGATGCTGTGCATATAGATTTCAGGTCTATTGACAAGGCTTATCTGTGACCGCGAACGAACTGACACCCTCTCGGAGACTCGAACATGCGTCCTCTAGTCTTGCAGCCAGAGAAGTTAACAGTGAGCTTTCCGAACTCACCACTAACCTCCTTAGATACATTATTTCATGAATTTCTCACCAAGCTTTACAAATTGTTGCTATCTAGTAATTCCCCATCTCAGTCATGATAAGATGACGCGTAAAACCAATCAATATTTAGTCGTGTAATGTCAAAAGGACACATACAACTGTATTTAAAACTTCAACTGATTTGCCATATTTCTATAAAATGTATACAGTACAGTAGTCGGTAAACAGGCTGTTTCTCTAGTCAGATTACAAACACGACATCAACAGGTAAAGAAAGAAGAGTGTCGGTGGCACAGTGGTTAGGACTCTCGCCGACCATGCACATGGTCCGGGGTTCGAGCCCCGCCGACGCACACCTGATATCTATGGTCGGCCTGCAAAATTTGGGCTACCGATATCCACGCTGAAAATTCCATACTTGTACCGAAAATACAGTGTGGAATCAAGCTGTAAATAAAAAATAAAAAATAAAATAAAAATAATTAACATCCTAATCCTTGTTGTAGTCTGAACAAAACTATCAACAGAGAATTACTTTATGCCGACATCACCTCAATTGAATTTGACGCCAAAAAGTTTCGCTTGATGAGCTAATTTGCAAATGCTCATAAAAATCTCTCCTATCATAGACATATTATGTATGCTACTTACTGGTCATACCCGTTATTAGCGCAGTTTTTATACATTTATTGTGTCAAGGTATAATCTACTGTTTATCACGGTTTACGTGCCAGTATAAATTACACCTTGCTCAGCTTCGGAAGTCACAAGGTTTATTTCCACGTGACATGAAAACAACAACCATCAGATTCCATTCCACGCTAAACAGAAATAAGGTCCAAGTGGTGGACTCGGAACTAACGCTTGAAATAGCTTGAGAGAAGGTATAAACGATCTAGGATGATAGACAACTGAAAAATCTAGCTAATACAACATGAATGATAGTCATCAATTTCAGCGACACGGTTTAACTCTGTTCATCACTTCAGTGTACTCATTCAACACACGGACACCCTATGCTAAATATCTCCTAGAGACCATTAATGGCTATATGAAATCACATCAATACTGGGATGGAGACATCACTCATGACATTATCGTTTTCATATGATTTCCACCAGTAAAATCATCAAACCTTGAAAAACTTCAAACTATAGTTAAAGTTGTATCGTTCACTGGCTAAAGGACACTTGTCTTGAATACAGCACTCCTAAACATGACATAACCTGATATTTATGCCTACAGTGATTTGTCATGTCTAATACATAACCCAGACATCTAATTAGAGAAAGCTTCACTATCCATTAAGACTTTCGACTGTCCTTCAGTGACCACCAAGGGCGATACGTGTTGCAAATATTTTCCTAAAAGAAAACATGCACAGTTTGCAACCATTCAAGTTTTGCATATTTTGTGAACTAACTACAACTTACTTTCGTTTGTCACAGTTTCATTTTCTTTTCCAATAGAGTCTTCACTTTGTTGTAGTAAATTCGACATCTTGGTTTCAGTTATAGTGACGTCTAAGCAAAGCAAGTAAAATGAAACGTGATACTTAACCCATTGGATGATGATGTAGAGGAAATTCATTCATTTCATGAAGGCACTTCTCATCAGCGATCAATACTCGTTTATTTATTTATTTATCTATTTTTAGACTTAAAGGTAGTTTGGCTGTTAAATGAATTCAGTAGAACAAAAGATATTGTAAGAAGAAATATAGTGTAGAGCAAGTCGATCGATGACCTGGAAATCAAAAGTACCATAATGTCACACTATCACTTAGACTAATTAGATTGTGTGTAGTAAGACTGACTCTGATAGAAGCAGATTCTTTCCTGTCGTTCTTCTAAACAAAGATTTCAACAGAATTTTACTCATCAACTATTTTTCATGTAAAGGCTTTTCTCTATCTGATTGATATTACTCTCTTTATAGTACTTGCCTAACTTTGACTGGCTGTTTTCTCGACCTGTTGTTTTTGACTTACTGTTTTCTAGTTTCTGTCTTTGCTAATTTCATCGTGAACAATATTCCGATAGCTGGAAGTAATGAAAGAACGTGTCAAACATTTACGCAAAATTATCATCAAATTCCTACGATCATTCCTGGAATCAAACTTGCAATCACTCAGCTATTCCGTCGTTCAGTACAAGACACTGGCATACAGTCTAGTCCATCTGATGGAATACTTTAATTAAAACACTCCTAATTCACCACATCAAGGATGCTACCGTTTAACTATCCGATTAGCGGATCGACTGCGTGACACTGATTCATCCAACTGATCACTTTTCAAAACCAGATTAGCTGAGAGAAAATGGCCATGTATACGCACTGTCTTGAAGCTGAAGAGAGAACCTTCTTAGAAGACGTCTTTTAGGATTGGAAACACCTACTGCTCACGAGTCCTAACCAAACGGGTGATTACTTTCAATCATATCCACTATTTCAATACCCAACAGTCTGCATCGCGTGACATGGGAATTCACTTAGTACACAAGCTGTATGTCTCGGCTGTCAAACTATATTTAACCTCCAGAACCAGATTATATTTAGTCACTGATGGAAAGTTTACGCTTTTAAGAATTGATTAAATTTATCTTTATAACATTAAGAAGTGAAGAGTACCGACAACAGAGCTTATAACAGCTTCTTCACTCTAAATGAGCTCGACTACTGGAGCTTCCACTCTGCTTAGTTGTTAAACTTAGACAGCGCAGTTGGCTAAGATCTGATGGTAGAACATGGGCGTTCTTTGTGAAGATGAGTTGAATGCAGGCAACATCGTGATCGTCAGTGAAGTGAGCCTGTATACCCAGTAGGAACTCGCCGACGCTGTATTTTATAACAAGCAAGGTTGATAAATCGGGATTGAGTGAATTCATCAAATTTCGGCAGAACCATTCAGCTTAATACTCTACACACAGGGATACATGTACTATCAGAATTGCTTAGGGAGATATAAGATTGACAAGTGAGTTATCTTCATTGAATTAACTAATCATGCAAAACGACACGTGTGAGTGTTTTTCAGGCCATGTTCAAACAGATAAGTGGAAGGGAGTACGAGAGACTAAAGTTAGGATAAAATACATTACGATTCAATCCCATCACTTAAATAGACAATTAGCCATCAGAGAAAGAAACTAAATATATCGAGAATTGAGAAGTGAATGATAGTATTAATGACAACAGTGTTAAAATGAGTTAGGATGATGCTACTGATGAAAGACAGTTTTAAATGAATCAGGAATATTGAAAAAAGAGGTAGAACAAAGTATTATTATACCACTAATAACAGCTAGTAAGTAAAACATATTACCACGGTCGATTCAGAGTGACTACCAGTTGCGTTTATACACAGACATCTAGTTGATACACTCGAATTGCCCAAGCCTCGGCAATAACCATCATCTTCCTGCCTCGTTGTTTGCTGACAATAGTGGATGACTTAACAGCGTCAATATCATGTCCGTAGTACACAAGGTGCTTCTTCATTATTGAACTTTTCGTCACTCTGACTTCAGCTGTTCTTAAATACTTTGTCAAATGCTCCCTCATGCAAGTAGACAATCGCCTCACTGTACCACCTATGTATTTGCTTTCACAACCACACTCATCCAATTGATATACGCAGTTTGAAGTGTCGACGATTGGTGACTGGCCTTTTCCAGATTACTGAAGCACCCGTTTAGTGGTGATGTTAAGGAAGGCGAAACTTGAGGCAATAATAAGTCCCGGTGATAGCCTTGTCAAGTCTCCGTTCGACTACTTCTTGTGCATCATCTCCTTTGAATAGCAAACTGATAAAGACAGACTTCTTTGGAGCCCTTTCGATAGTTCTACTGGGGCATATGTGTTTCGAATATATATTGGTGAACTCCTCAGGATATCCATCAGTCAGTCAGTCCTATGTCACGCTTATATCTTCCAATATAATTCTGATAGTACATATTTCCTTGTATGTAGAGTATTCGACCGAAGAGTTCTGCCGAAATTTGATGAATTCACTAAATACGGTCTTACTAACCCTTGTCGCTTGTTTTAAATTCGTATCAGGGGATAGTTGTTTCCGATTCGTAAAGATGCGACTGTATTTTATGTCAGAACAAAGAAGAATAACACGGACCCTCCCCACTGATCAACGAGATAGATGACGGCCCTCACAACGCATTGTCTCACGCGAAAATACTTCAATATTTAAAGCGATGGCTGCTGAGCCTGGACCGAAATAAGAACACTACAGTATCTATCAGTTGACAAATTTAAAATTCCACAGGTTTATTGGATTTTAATACCTACTACTTTCACACATAGCCACCAGACTATTACCAACAAGTAGACAGAATACATTTGAGTGATTCTGGCGATACACCAACTTCAGATGACTCCATCCAAAAGCTCAATTACACAGGGCAAACTTTTCATGTAACTGACTGAAGGCCACACTTATTATGTGAGACCTGATGGTACCATCGAATTACCCAGGTTGAAATAGATTCAGTGGGACTAGAACTCGTGATCCACAAGTTGTAAATTCACTGCCTAAATCAATGAACACTAGTTGGCGAATTCACACCACAGTGTTTGAGTGTCTTCATACAAAACGAAAACCTTTGCACCTCCTGAAGCATAGGATGTATACTAAGAAATTGAAAATGTTCTGTTTAATTTCAAACTCATGCTTTTAACACTCACCTTCAAACTGGTTGTCCACCTGATTCACTTTACCAGATTCAATTTCTTTCCAACGTTTTTCTGCATATGCCTCCATAGAATGTATTTCTGAAACCAATATGGAGTCATGTAAACATCACAAATATGCCGTAGAATATAGTCTGCTGCTTTCACTAAATGATATTTTTACATCTACACATAGTAATCACCATTGTATTGGTTTATACAGTTGTGACACGTATTAATGAAATAGCTTTTTCTAGTCAAACATGTAGAGAAGGGAATGATAGTGGAAATTTTGTCATTCTAGGAAAAGCTTGCTCAAGGAATGCATGAATAATCTTTCAGCTTCTACAAGTAGAACTAACCCTGCCTATTTTCCAATGTTCAGTTGATTAACTCTGTGCTATTGTCATTATTATCTGATGTAAGTATCACTCAGTTCACTTTTACAAGTCAAGTGAACTCACAACCACAATGAAAAACAAGTTCATTTTGGCCAGCAGCTATTTTGCAGTCTACTAGTCGATGTCAACCTCCAATGTAAACTTACTTCACGTCACTCAGTTTCCTGTCAATCATACAGTTCCATAATAGGAATCTTTGTAATGCAGACAAGTCACTGACTAGTCAGGTAAATAACGTCACAATGTACAAATATATTCCGGCCGGTAGCCCTTCATTAGGAAAACTAATTCACCTAAAATGAATACATTCAGGGTTCTCCTCAGCTCTCATCTTACCACCTATTCAAGTCGTGGAAACTTATCTGCAGGAATATGGGAATTTGAATTTTATGCCCGTTGCAATCTCTCAGACGAAAAACTTGAGATGTTTGGTGACTTGAACTGAATAGGCTAGAAACATTACCAGACCAGACAAGCTGGTCTAACAGGGATACAGATTTATTAATGAATTCTGGAATGATTTGAGAATCAAAGGTGAACGAATCTTCCCTACTCAGCGAATTTGTTGGCAATGACCATAACGTAGGCGATCGAAAAATAATAATAGAACAAGTGGAAGTAGTGGTAGTATTTGTCAGTCTATTGAAATTAAGCTCACGTATTCACAATAAACTAATTGTCAATCCTATCTTAACACAGTAGTTTTATCTAATGGTCAGACATGTATTAACCCCCGAATTGCATGATCTATTCACAAAGCCTAGACTATATCGCTTTTTTTCGCTATTATTTCATATAATCTCTTGTACTTCTATCCGGAAGTAAAAGCGTTTTCCGCATCTAAACTATTGATTTCATTTCTCGTCTCATTGAACCTATGTGAGGGAGGCTGTTCGAACCCAATGCTGACAGCCATTTCAAAATAATATAGTCTCTTGACAACGACAGTTTAGTTCTGCTGTTTGTAAGTGCATTCATTCTTTGAATTTTAACTAATATTAAAATGAATGGTGAAGCGGTTGAGTTGAGAGGAATGTCACCGCCATCCATTCTCATTATCAATGAAATACTGACTGTTTTATATTACTGCTTGGCAGTCATTTACAAGCCTGTGCTCGAAACGTCATCCAGTTACTTACACTGCATCACTGTGTCTTATTTGAAATAAACTTATCCATTATGGAACGACTTCTATGGTAGTGTTTACATGTTCACTTAACAACGTAAGTAATATTTTACTCAGATATGTGGCAACAAAGAAGAAGAAGAAGAATAGATGCCACAGACGAATGAACTTGAACTAGTTAATCATTTTCATCTTAGTGAAATGCTACATTTTATTATACAATGTATATTCACAAGATGTATGTATGCATGATGAAAATGCACTAGACAGTGTATACAGCTCCAATATGCCGCATAAACATATCCCCTGTTTTAATAGGAGTGGTTATTGACACACACAATTCTAATCCATTTTTCATATGCTCAGTTTCCAGCACCAGTTTCAGTATCCACTGATCCCAACAAATCACTGACTTCATGATTGAACATGTATTCATGATGATGATGATGAGGAGGAGGAGGAGGAGAGTAGTCAGGACGCTCAAAATTTCAAATCGATGCAAACCATAATCTTCGTTGCAAATCCCACCCTGACGCTTACCTTAACCTTCACTAACCACCACCGTAACACTAACCCTAAGTCGGAGTGAAACGTACAACGAAGACTACGGAAACACCATTTAGTGATTTTGAGCAACCTAATTGCTTGGTTCACAATCAATCGGCTGTGCTATCTCTTCTTCACTCTTGTCAGATACCTGACAGTAAATTATATTCTGGAGATTCTTTTTATTTTTTTTATTTTTTATTTACAGCTTGATTCCACACCGTATTTTTGGTACAAGTATGGAATTTTCAGCATGGATATCGGTAGCCCAAATTTTGCAGGCCGACCATAGATATCAGGTGTGCGCCGGCGTGGGCTCGAACCCCGGACCATGTGCATGGTCGGCGAGAGTCCTAACCACTGTGCCACCGACGCACAGTAGTATTCATTGAGAAGTATTCACAATTATTACTAGTCCGTGCGTAATCCAAATATCGCTTTATGTTGCTGATATTTATTCTCCAGACTACAAAGTTTCATGTGATTTTATGCTGGTATTTGTGGCCTGTTCATCAGGATTTCTTCGTTTTCACTCCTGTTCACGTAGTGCTCATTCGATCAAGATATTTTTTTATTGATATTTGTTCGTCGTCTTACTGAATCATTATGAAATAAAGCATATCTCAAACACCTGTCGCATAATTGTGCCATTTGCACACATAGCTGTTGATGCATATGATAAGCACAAAGTGCCTTCATCATCTTTCATAAAATTGTATTTTAATTATATGGAGAAATTGAAAAAACTGAAGTATTAAACAGTTGTATAAATTGCGCATTTTTTCAACATAATTTTGCTATTATTAGTAGTCTTATCCTTGACCATGACTGATTGCACTATGACAGGATGAAGTGAATGTTAGGTAATAACTCATTCAGCATTTACTTCAAACAAAACTACCACTAACTTACGACCGACTGTCAGGTGAACTTCATGTGCCTGTATATTTGTCTTGGGAAGAAGCCAACTAAAAATAGAGAGAGAGAGAGAGTGAAAGCAATGCTTGATAACATTCGAATATTCACTGAGATTAAACAATGCTAGCAGTAAAACACTAACCAAATATATCACTAGGGGGATTGTTAAGTAAGTTTACTAATGTGACATTCAAGTAATTTCAAGTTTGGTTGTATATGATGTATCCATAGAGTGTCCTACGAAACCATGTTTCTAAATATTCGATATTAGCAGAAGCATTATCATCATCATCATCATAAGAGTTCCTCATCACTTTTTAATAGTGATGTCTTAAGAGTTTCTCACTCAGTAAGAGTAGTTAGTTGGTGTAGGGGGACGGTTACAGAAACAAAGAGGACTCTGATTGATGCTCGTGCATATACAGATGATATTTGACTAAATTGAATGCAGGGAGTTTTAATATGGATTTTATTCCCATAGAAAATAATCTAAAACACAAAATATGAAGCATCTGAGAAAGCACTATGCATCTTTTAGACCTTCTATTACTCTATGTAGGAAGTCAGTAAATTAAGAAATACTCACTCACTTCACCATTCACGTAGCCAGTGATAATTTCCATTCTACGTTAGTGTCAATATTTTCAGAGTTTTCCGCATATCACATACAGTCTAGATTATTGTATGGGATTTCAAATTTCTTCTAGGTGTTTCCATGTTAAATCAATCGGCAGATTAATAAAGTCAAAACAGGCATCAAATGTTTGGCAATAATGAAATCAGGTTTAAAATGGGACAAAGAGTACCCAGAACTACAAATACCTTTCAGTGGTCACCCAACTGAAAAACTATCAAAATGGCGGGTGTTAGGACGGTATAAATATTTTCATTAGCCATCAGGATGTGGTCAGTACATGCACTGACATAATAACCCGATTGGAAAATTTTTGACTGTTTCATTTTTGAGGATCTTTGGGGTCATGCAATCCACTAGATATTGATTATCCGTTTATGGTTTAAATTTCCGTGACTGTGAAAATGATATGCATATTCTGTGTTATGAATAACAAAGGTTGTTATTGTCGTGGTTGTCGCAATCAAATCTGAATTCTGTGTCTACCTCAATCTGGGGTCTGTTTACAAGTGATCAATTGATGGCTATGGTGTTATGCCCGGAGGCGCACTGTAGTCACCTCAGACAACAATCAACAGATCAACAACAATCCGTTGCAGCATAAGTCAATAACAGAAGTCGGTTATTTAGGGTGTTTCATTTTCTGTCCACTATTTTTTTTTCACACAGTTGAAATATATGACAAACATCGGCAGACGGTTTCATTTTATTCACCTCCATCATATATTTACATACATACACGCATGCACACATACATCATCGACACCTGCTGAAGTCCAGGAAGAGAGTAGAGTTGATAATGGAATGTAGGTGAGTTATAGAGATAGATGGGAATATCTGGTCACAGTAGTGATACAACGTAGAATAATGAAGAAACTTTTCTCTGTTACTACAACAACTACTATTACTGCAAATCTAATAATATTCAATTAAATGAGACTTACTTTTCTGAAGGAAAGTCATAAATTAATTGTTTTTTCGTGTCCCACACTAATATTTTATTGCACATCAACCCAGAACATTTTGACTCTGGTTGGTTTTCCACATCGACTGGACCTAGGAAACAGCTGGTCATTTCTCCAAGATAAGCAGCTTCAATCAATGTATCAAATATCTATGAGAGGGAGAGAGAGAGAGAGATAAAACCCCAGACATATATACATAGATATGTATATATACATTTCAAATTATCAACTGTCAAACTAATCAAAAGAAAATGCATCTGTGTGTGTGTGCGCGCGCACGCGTTTGTGTGTGCCTTCATGCGTAAAACTTCCGTATCCATGAGAACACTTCACGTGTGCAAGAATGAAAAAGTCTCTTACGAGAGGTCTTATTTCCAAAAAACTAATTATCGAATAAAACATAGGAAGTGAACGACAGTATGGATAAGGAGTCAGTATGCTGCAGAAAAGACATCTAGGTATATAAAATACGTCTAGAAAGCAGAAAACGACAGACCTCCAATTGTTGTCGTTGTACAACTTTGTGCAGTCATCTCTGTTATCTCAGTTGTATTTCCTAAAATAGCTCTTTTTGGTAATCCATGTCAGAGGAAATATTATTCATATTCATAGGGACTGAAACTAAACTAAAGTCGTCAAACAATTTTAACAAAGAACCACCTTCACCACCACCAAGTTACGCTTATCCCAAGTGCTCTTTTGATTCCACTTAATTAACATTCTGTCCATATGGCGCTAGTTCATCTGCTTATGACAATTATCTCTTAGACAGGATGCCTGCTTAATTACTGGCAAATCCTTACACATCGTTAACCAGTTGAGTATCCTCAAGTGTCGTGCGTTTTACAAACAATGATCTGGAATACATTTCATTGACACACACACACACACACACACCAACACACCCACACACACAGTCTTAATACTTTCATTTTTTTATCAAAAGTCTAATTTCTAATTTCACCAACTTGTGTGTAGTTATCACCGGTGAACCGAGAAAACCTAAGTGAAATGCATGACTAGGAAGTGAGAAAAACAAAAATATTCCTCGTCTTGTAAGTATCACAACAGAACAGCAGATTTTCTCAAAACAGTAGATCATAGTCGAAGTTACACGAAGGTGATGGAGTTAAAGTGGTATGGATTCACTCTTAAATCCACGGAAAATTCCCACCAGAACATAAAGGAAATCAAGACAAACAAGTGATCCAGTAAACAGACTGTTTACAACAAATTTATTACTAAGTCGTACAATCGTATCTATATATTCCGTTTAAAAAGAATATAATACTGTGAATTGAGACAACTTATTTTGATTTCAACCTCTCTCTTTTAAGCTATATACTTATAAGAGGCGTAAAATAACCTGCCAAAATCACTAGCTGGCTCCCCCCCCGAAGTATTGAGGAAGTTTTGGCCAGAAGAACAGAAAGGACAGAGAGAGAGAGAGAGCTGTGTATGCAGAAAATAAATATACCGATTCAACCACTCCATGTTTTCATCTAGCCCCCAATTCTAACCTCGCCCTATTCACTCTTCCTTCGCTTTATTCATTCGCCATATCCATCCCTTAAAATTTCCTTCACTGTCATTTCTACTACTACTACTACTGTTATTATCATTATTGGTCACAGGTATTCATCATGAGCTGACATCAGTTAGAGAACCATTGGAAGACCAGCTGGGAGTACTGGACAGCAGCTATATTGTGAATTGGCAGAAGTTAGAATTCATGGGCCATTGGATCGGGTCCCAGGGGCTTAGTGGTCTACGAGCCAGCTCGCCTTGTAATCAGCAGGTCCTATGTTCGAACCCCGGTGGGTGAGCACTGTTGAAGAGTCAAGAACTAGGACGAAACAGCTATCCATTACTCCCAGCTGGTTTTCCAATGGTTCTCTAACTGATGTCAACCCAGATGAAATCCTGCAACCAATTCAACAGAATCCCTACAAAACCAATACTTGGAAAAAGTCAGTATATTATAGTAAGAAATCATTATGACAAATTCAAGCAGTGAAAAATATTCTGAAATATCATGACTACTTTCCTCTTTTTTTACAAGTACATAGTATTGAAAGATGACAGTGAGATTAAGCATATAATACAGGGATTAAATGTACAATTACATTAGCATGTTGATAGATAAGAAGGCAACAAATAAGATATATATTGTAAGTTTCCAGACCGTAGATGTTACGAATTTCCTGGAATAATTTCAGCGCCGAGTCAGATTGAATCATTGTAAATTATTTAAAAATATATGTATTGTGTTGTGTTTAAAAGATGAATACTAGATTATTAAGGTTGTGGAATATATTGATAAGCTTACCCAAGACTAAGCTCATTAAATGTGTTCACAACTTCCATGGACAATGGGGAATAATAAAGACAAAAGATACCACCAAAACTACACAGTGCACGTCAAGTGTTTACAATTACTAGGGATATTGTTCCTCTAACTATGCACAGTGTCAGTGTACTTACTTTATTTGATTGTAGACGTGATTGTGATTGTAACTCTGTTTAATTTTATCGTTCAAAAATCATTTAACTACCACAGAAAGCTGTTTTTGATACAGATTAGTCAGGCAATAAAATCCTTTCAGATTAAAACACTGACAGAGTGCAGAAGTCTAACTGAGTACAGTTGGTATGCAGTAATGATGTGCATCCAATCTTAGCATAATTATAAGTCGAGAAATGGCTGAATACGTTGGCTACTTCAGTTATTCAGTAAACACTGCATCCACACCTGTTGATTGATCTCTTAACTAGGTGCATTGAGCATCATTTTTGTCACCTGCTACACTAACAACCAAGAGACTTTTCTCCTGTTCATCAGTTTGCTCCGTTATTGTCTATTGGTTGTGTACTAATGACTACTGAAAGTAAAAAAAAATGAAAAGGTCATAGGTTTTTGATAATAGGTAACTTCATGCAATTACCCTAGGAACAGTATTAGGTGGAGTAAGATTAAGTTAGAAAAGTGTTAGGAGTGGTTATGAAAAACACAGCACCAATCGATAAAGTCAAAGTCTATTGCCATAACCACTTTATAAAGGTGGAGATTATCTGGCTGGTCTTCTCGAAATACTAAAACTCAATGTTTGGAGGCTTTCTGTGATACGGTTCAAAACTGCTCATAAGGGGTCAAGTGTGCACTTATTTATTGCCTTCTGCTGAAGGGTCTTCAACTAGTACGAAACAGCTGTCCAGTACTCCCAGCTGGTTTTCCAATGGTTCTCTAACCAATGTCAGCTCATGATGAAATCCTGTAACCAACCAACGAAATCGCCAAAGACCAATACTTGAACATTATTTTCATTATTACTATTATTAATATTGTGATTATTATTTTCGCTTCGAACATTACCTGGAATTGTATCACTTTCCACCCGTTATTTGATTCCACATAATATTTAGCCACGTTGTCCTGTCAGTATCCTCACTTTGTCGCATAAGGTTTTAATTGCCCATTAATCTTATCAATTCTACACTCCTTTCTAAGATTTATATACTCAATCACTCACATACTACATCAGGTGTGTTCTATAAAGTACATAACCTGTTTTTTTTTCTTTGACGTTCAATCACAGATATTCCCGCTTAATTCGCAATATTGTTTCTAATGATTATACAGCTTAATAATAAACTCGTTGAAAAGTCTCTTCACAGAATCACTTATATTGATTTTGTAAATCTTACTCTTCCCTTCCTCTCTCTCTCTCTGTCTCTCTGTTAACCTCATTATTTGCAAATTGCAAATATCATGCCCACAACTTCAAGGTTGATCGATAATGCTTCAAATTTCAAAATGTAGCTGATGCCCTTTATTTATAAATGAAGAATATCTTATCAGTCTATAATTGAATCAATATAGTAGAATTTTCGTATTATGAATGTGCCCTCTACCTTATTGCCCTATCTCACAAGATCCTCAAAATTTACGGCAATTTGAAATAGGCTTTTGAAAGTCACAATATTTACTACAATATTAGTGATGTCTCTCTCGTCTGATAAACTTGACAGTGTTAATATTATCATTATTTAAAAATTTTATGTCACATGACAGTGATTGATTTTGTCAACTAGACAAACGGACATACGCAAGACACACACACACACACACAAACGCTCATCACCAATCACATTCACACTAGTCATTAGAAATGAAATCAAACGCTGTTTAAAATCTGTAACCCATCAAATTCAATGCAGATTCGACTCGACCAATCAAAATAAGGCATACAATTTATTGCTTTCACCCTATATTCAAAAACCAAAAAGTCACAGATTTACATTATTTCCACATCATGAGTGGCGAAATTTCAACAATTACAGACGGGTCGACGTCGAGGTCACGTAGGCGCAGTAGGTCACCACAAGGCTCACCTGGTAAGTTTCGATGCAATCCCTAATAAGTTGGTTTCTCTCAGATCCTACTCCACGTAAACGTAAAAGTAGATGGTCTGCTGCCGAGACAGACCGAATTTTCATACCCGGTATGCCAACTCACCTTCCTCCAAATCTGACCCTCAACAGGAGAAAGTTTATATAAGTATGTGTACATCACCCTATTAACCTTCTTCCGTGTAGTCCAGCTCCAAATTGAAGATATTTCCAGACGCTTGAAAAGTGGTGATTTGGGTATTCCAAAAAACCCTGAAGACAGGTTAGCAGTTTTTGATGTATTTTACTGTTGCATAGATATCATTTGTTTGTTGTACTGCTTAATGTTTATAGGATAATTTGAAAGGTTTCCCATAAGGTAGTACGGACTGGTTGGTATAGATAAGTCGTTCACTTTACTCTTTTGTTTAGAATTTTATGTCATGTAGCTGGTTTTATTTACTGTGGATCAGACAATTAGCTAATGGGTAAGGGTATATATAATGTTAGTCATTTGGTGGTTAACTGTCGGAAGTTTTCTCTCGCTAACCAGTTATCTCCTTTTCAGATCACCATCTCCGGAACCCATATATAGTATTGATGGCAAACGTCTCAACACAAGGGAATATAGAACTCGTAAGAAGCTCGAAGATGATCGTCACGCACTTGTTCAGCAGCTGATAGATATTAATCCGGAATATAAACCAACGTCTGATTACAAGTAAAAGCTATTAAATGATAGTTTCCCTGTAGGCCTCCTCAAAATAGAATAACCGACAAGGTATTTATTCCACAAGAAAATCATCCTGATATCAACTTCGTTGGGCTATTGATTGGACCACGTGGAAATACCCTGAAAGCTCTGGAAAAAGAAGTAAGTATGACTCATAAGTCCTGATTTTATAATTCGTGTTTAATAATAATAAGAATTAAAGGGGATTTCTTCATTTCCATATGGTCGGATGGCGGGTATGCAACCATGTCTACTGACTCTATGCACTTAGTCTGATAAACCTTCGCTTCCAGGGTATTTGTGCATTAAGAGCTTGTTGTTTATAGGTCTCCGTGAGTAGTAGTTACATGCTGCCGATTCATCCGTGAACCCTACCATCCAAAAACATTTGTCCCGAAATGCGGACTTCTCAATTGTGTCTCGTGTATTCCTAATGAAATGACTAAACCAGTAATGTACTATAATTTGACTCGGAATACCATACTTCAGGCAATTGTTGCATGTATTGTAATACAGACGTGAAACAGTAACTGTATTGGTAAATTCATCGTTACGTTTTCCTATTACCTAAAGTGGCATATCATCAAGTGTCGGAACAGTTTTTCGCCTTCAATTTGTTTTGTTATTTCTGATACAATGACGAGCTGATAGATGACCAACTAAAGGATCTCCCTATATTAGCTGTAGTGCAATCGGGTGGTTTGTTGAGTTCAGTACCATTAAGTGGGTGAAAAGTAAGAGAAAGTAACAATAACCACGAAGAAACTAAAATTCTGATGAGAGGTAATCACATTGTATTGATTTCTCAGAGCTGTTGATAATGTCCACACGTGTGGCTTCCTGTTAACACTGACAACGTTATATGTGTGGGAATTTAGGCCATGAGAAAGTAGAATTATATTGTGTTGATGTCAATCTGCACCTTAATGACTATTGGTTCTAAGTGGCTTTGAATATTCGTTACGATTGGACTACTAGGTAGTACCTCGATTATGGATAAGATTTTATTTCGATAAATCACACAGTGAGTTATATAATAATATTAACTGATAACATTTCGACCACAAACTACTGCTCATAATCATATCAAGTTACTCACACAACACCACTGAGTGATATTTCGAAGTGAAATCTTATTCATAATGGAGTTATACTCTACCACAGTGTCCAAGTTTTATACTTTACTTATATCAATATTATTAGGTAGTAGGCCTATAAGTCTGTACTGAGGAGTCTGACGACGAAGTACGTTGGATAATAATTGATTCGCGTGCTAGACGTGCTGGATTCAATGGACTAGGCTCATTTCAATCTATGAATTTCTCTCGGTCAACCAGGTTAGGAGAACTCACGAGCTGTGAACTCATCCAGCCAGTAAGTTAGACTAAAAGGATTTCTTCAAAAGCTGGAGAGTATTTTAATATTAACAAGACTAGGAAATATAGATCATGGGTCCATATACGGTACGTCTGACATATGCTGCACTCAAATGTGGTTCGCCTCACAGCATAAACGGCAAGTCCAAACATTTGGTGGCTAAGAACTACGTTTTCATTCATTCTAGGATCATGTTGGTGATTCTATTTATTGACTTTACTCCCAACTTTGGACCCAACTGATCGTATGGCTGGTATATAACAATAGTGTCTTCTCCAGACAGCGTAATTATGAAATCCTTTGTTTTCACATTCCAGTTGAGATGTGGAATATTTGTCTACTCATGAGGAGTATCAACCCTGGAAATATTATGCATAACCTCAAGCCAAACAACATTCAATTTGGGTGATTATTGAAGTGTTAGTTTTACCATGAGGTAAAATATGCGCTTGTTGTAAACCCTTCTGAACAGCTTCACGAGTTGAGTTTTGGTGAAACCAGTCAATTGAGTCTCTGTAGCAGCCTATTAGCATACTCCATCATGGTCATGTAAACTAGTGGAGGCGTCGATTATCTCTATAAAGGTTGAAAATTGCACTACAAAACAGTGCTAATAGCCTCCAAAGTAGGCATATTATTACCACCCTTCATTCTTGTACATTCAAGGTGTCACACTCCATGACACCACTCAACTAACTTTGCACTTTAAATGAAGTAGAACAAATTTCCTATGATGCTTCCTAATTGCTTTTGATTTCAGACAGGAGCGAAGGTGATAATTCGTGGCAAGGGTTCTGTGAAGGAAGGTAAGGTTGTTCGGAGAGATGGACTTCCAATGCCTGGAGAGGACGAGCCTCTCCACGCATTCATAACAGCTCCTACAGCTGAATGCGTGGACAAAGCAGTAAAGAAGATAAATGAAATTATTAGACAGGCGATAGAAATCCCGGAAAGTCAGAATGATCTTCGCAGAGCCCAGTTACGTGAGCTCGCCCTACTTAACGGAACTTTACGTGAGCATGGAGGGTCGATGAAACGTTGCCCGATGTTGGAGATTCAGTTGTCTAACGCTAATGTAATCAAGTGTGGTATATGTGAAGGTAAGTCTTTGATTTCTATAGTTTTCCCTAGTGGAATTAAAATCTGTTCATTGTTTCATTCTTATCGTATATATTTGCCAACCTGACGTACACCATCTCGCACAAAGTCACGATGATTAGAGTGTATCAAATCCAAACATCATCATCACACTTAAAACAGTGAAATGTTATGACAGTGAAAGTGTTGAATGTTTCTTCAAATAAATTCAGATATATAGAATACTCCCATATGTAGGCTTCTCATAATCCACACTTTGATATGTACACTACTTTTTGTTTACAGTCGTTTCTATGTAACATGAATAAGTGTTGTGTTGTTTTTGTTCTAGGTGCTGGACATTTGTCAACTGACTGTAAGGCACTACTGGGCGGTCAGGCATATCTCGATCAACTGAATGCTAATCCATCTGAAAGGGCTAAATTGGATAGCGAATATACTGCATTGATGGCGGAACTTGGCGTGGGACCAGGTTCTCAAGAATTACCTCCAGGTATGACTGTTAATAATTATACTGAAATATGATATCAAAGATATGGTTGTATTGTTAAGCGAAGCGATTGATTTCTAATACTTGTGTGTAAATTCGATGAATAATTAGTTACGGTCACCCTACCGCCACCTCCACCTCCTCCAGCTAATTATGCACCAGTGATAGCTCCTGTTGTTCCTTGGTCCGCTCCTGGTATCGTTGCACCACCACTCCCTGGATATCCCCCCACTACTACATACCCTACAGTTGTCTCCTCAGCTACGGGATCATATGACGAGGCAACAACCGCTACTAATGGATCCTCACTGCATTCATGGCAACCTACAGCGTCATGGGGGGAGGCCCCATCACATGTATCTCCAGTTGCACCCGTTCCTGGTAGGTATTTCTGAAGCAATATTTATCAATAATTGAAGTTCTCAACTGTAAGTATTAATCGATGGCTTTATGGATTTGGGAATCAATCTGTCGTCTTGAATTAATTTCCTAACATCTTATACTCCCTAATTCGTCCATTATTAGTTCCCACGCATTTGGCTATATAGAAGTTTTCCTTCCATTTCCAAATGCTCATGTGCATACGGATTTTGTGTATACAGATGTATATATGTTTTGCTTTTTGAGTATGTTTAAAGTGTCGTCAAAATTGTGTTCATCTTCTTTTCCAGGTTCAGCACTGGCTGCTCCATATTACCTGCAAACACCTGATTACTGGGCGGGATATGCAAGCGGTTACGGAGCTCCGATACCAAATCAGCCACCACCACCCCCTCCTGGAGTCTAGGTCATAATGATTATTCTATCAGCCGTCAACATGAGACTTTGTACAGAATTCGAAGCATGGTAGTTCTATGAAATGCACTATTAATTTTCATTGATGAAGATAAAACATTTTTTGTCATCGTTAGTAATTTTTGTATCAATACATTTACTCTACTGACGTTGTTGGGCTTTTCACGTTGCTTGGGCATAGCATAATGTTGATATAGGCTGTTACTTGAACGCAAGTCGTGAAGTATCGCAGCGCTAACGGTTCAGGTCTCAGTACTCCACACCGCGACATTAGTCTGTAAGATTAAATAGGAATAGTTGGGTTCATCAGAATTCATCAGGTGAATAGAGAAATGGTAACATAAGCGGTCGCTGCACGATGACGACTTTTGCACACTCGCACCAGTTAACTCACAATTAGGTTTATTTACTTAAATGAAACGCCTATTAATTCTAACATGTTGGCACAAACAGATGGGACACACAAAAATAAGGAAGCACCAATGTGAGAGGGGAGAAAGTCGAGTAATTGAGGGACTGGATCATGAAAACACGTAGGCATACTCCTCTTTAGTACATCCATAGGATCAGTCGTTACTTCCTATTACTTTCTAGATTAGGAGAAATTAGAGTACGTCGATTTCGATTCTCGGCCATACGTGATAACGTCTCGACTCAGTGATTCAGACGATTTCGCGTGTCCTAATTAGGGAGTATTGATGTGATGAGAGATATTCTCGACCACGGTGAACGGACATATCAGACATTTGATTCACTTCACAGTGTGCACGCGATTCTATGGAAATGAGGACGTCGGGACACTGGAAGTGTTTGCTTATCTCGAGGTGAGGACGTGCAGGGGTTGAGTTAGACCATAGGCTTCGAAGCGTTGACGTCCAGACTAAACTCGTAACTTTACCAGAAATATTTCGAATGGGAAGCCTTATGCATTAGACATCCGCTAGTCTTCATTCCTAAGGAGATACGCGAACTCACCCACTACTTCTGATGATACGACTGCATTGATGAGCGCAGGTGTGGACCACTTCTCATCTTGCAACTCTATTTTGCACTGACGTTAGTGATCAACTAATGTTGTTGCTGTAATTTTTAAACTTAATGTAAGAAGTACATGATCTCTTAGTGATAGTGTTTTGTTTATTTACTAATTATTCTAGCATCATGTGTTGCTCGTAATCATATCTTGCTGAAAAATCAAACCTACCCACACATTTTTTCTGTCTGCATTCACCAACTCTTCACAAGTAACTTCACCCAACAGTCGACGTCCAGAATCTCCATACTGTCCAATTAAGCAGAGATATGGCTCCAGAGAAATATTCGACGGAGTGCATTCATTAGACTCGTCATGATATAATTCTAGTTGTACACGATAGTTTGTAAGACACAGTTTTATTTCACTTGCTGATTGTCGCTTCTCTGTTAATGAGATGGTGTTGTTGGTATGAATGAAACTTGTAACTTGTTCTCGAGATAGACAACTGAAGTTGGCACTCTTTCCAAATGGTCGGCCAGAAAAGTCAAATGACAACTGCTTAGACGTCGTAACATTTTCTATGATGACCTTGTTTTAATAAAAGCAAATAAGAGAAGAAGAACAAGAAATGCAACTAATTAGCACATTTCAATTCGACAAGTGTGTTAATAGTTCTATGTGATATTTGTACACAATTTTAATGCGATTGACTGATTTCTTAGGATTTCAAATAGATTAACACACTACGGATGCAAAGAAACAAACCTCATCGAAGAGTTTTACGACCTGTATGCCATTTACCAAGAATGCACTTTCGAATGATGCAAGTCCACACGTAGACAGAATAAATTAAGTCAGTCGATCAGTTGGTCTCCACGTTCGAAACCAAAACCCAACCAAGATGTGCCCTATTTCTCGATAGTACACAATCGATCATTTCGAATTCAAAAATCAACTTTTCTGACAAATATACAGAATATTTGCGAAGTCACAATATATATATATATATAATTTTTCTGGAACATATACAGTTTGGTTAAATCACCAGATAGACAAAAATCTAAATCATTTAGGAAAGTTGGATGCACTGTGCAATATACGAAGCAGGACATTTTGCCTATCGTAAACCAGAGACCCACATTAGTCGACAGGCATTTCAATAACCTGCAAATAAGCTAAAACCCTGACTACCTTATAAAGGGAAAAATCAACAGGAAAATAAAACTTCCAGTAAGAAGAGGGTCCAATAGACATGTCAGCCTAGTTAATCAAACGTCAATTATGCGGCGTTCCCGACAACTTCAGATGGATTGTTGAATTTACACCTATTCGACTACAAAAGTAAAATGGGTTATTAAAAGGGCTTCTTTCAAATATTCGGAGAATATGTTTTAGATAGTTTCATTTGATGATACAAATGATTATGATTACTTCAGTAGACATCTATAATAAAAGTGTTTGAATAGAAGTACAGAAGGGAAAATAAATATCTGTTAGACTCTTAACTCTTCCTCCTGCTACTAAACTATTTGACTAGCATTCATGTACACAAGATAAAGTCCATGTTAACTTCAACTTTGTTATTGACTGAATATCCACTTAAACCAAAAAATACCTAGTCAAAATTGTATCAGTTTCATTTATTCAATTTTTCTAAATATCCTCGTAGATAGTAGTAGTGTGGCGGTGTGATACAGACAATGTGTTTCAGCGGAATATTTTTCTCACAAATTCCCATAGTTCAATACAGCATTAGCAACAGAATACGATATATCTATTTATTTGAACATTCTATTTGATGCTAGAGTCAGAACATTATTCCCACAGTTCAGTATTGCGTTAGCAACAGAATACTATGTATATTTGAACATTCTATTACATGTCGTTTAATGTAAACCAAAATCACTCAGTGATTGGTTAAAGAATATAAACTGTATATGTATAAACAGCAGTTTGATCACTTGAAAATATACCTTGGCTTCCGTGTCTTGCCGTCTTTTGTTACACGAGTAGCAGTAGTGTGACTGATAAAATTCAGTCTGCACCAAATAAAGGACTAGAAACGTCACACTAGTTACTAGTGTCCAATCAAAAGACTTTACACTAATTCCCCTTTTTTTTAACAATGAGGATTTGTGTCTTAACACCTAAAAATTGGCCTAGATTTCAGACATATATTTTTACTATTTCACTACTTTATTTTTGAGCCTTTCTCAATCGTTATTTCTAGAATTGGATTCTATCCCCAACATTCATATCAATCTAGTAGTTATTTTGAAATTTAAACTGTTTAACACTAACTGACAGCCATGAAGTAAGATGAAGTGAATAATTTAATCTCGAATTTAATGAGAGTCTGAGAGATACTAATGCGGAATGTTTGAGCTTACTGAAAATTATAACCCCTCAGAAATTGGTACAATCAAGCTGACAACTAATCAACATGACAAAGCATACCTACTAAAATTCCTTTTCTGGACATTAGGTTAATTCATTCTTCTCTGTGTATCTTGTGCGTACGCACTTATAAACGTCGTTAAGTTCAGTGGCAGTAGTTTACAAAGCTTTTGAATATATGTCATTTCAACCTCATTTGGACTATTCCTAAGGTTGACTTTTGAAGAATGATAGACAACAGAAGGAGTATGTTTATTATCACCACTCATATTGAAGTCTTTAATAGTTCAAATATTCAACATTTCTCAGTATCAAACTCATAATTGTAGAAACGCATTCTAACGGTGCTAATTTTAGCAAGAATATCAAAAACATTTCACCATCATAAAACTTGTCATGTTGTAGGATTTGTCATCTGTCTCAAATATTTTACTGCGATAGTCGAATACGTACATCGCTTTTTATCTCCCTCTATGTTTCTCTTTCTTAACACCTTTGCTCTGCATGTACAAATATTGATGAGTATAAGGAAACAGTCAGTTTCAGCGAATGGAAAATATCTCTCCATCATTCACGGGATAAACTACAATAACTATTTGTAATAGTCTTCTTTTTTGCTTTGCTGACATTCAGCAATTACATCTTGTCTTAACTAGGAGACCTCCAGTCCTCATCTCATTACGACTAAGCATCTGTCTCGTTCTTAATTAAATTCACATGCTAACTGCAGTCATTTGCCGCGGTCCTAGTACCAAAAAGTGTTTCTGTTCATTACTGATATCTGTATTGATCAGATATAATTTAAATCAACCTTAGAGTGACATTCTCGATGATAAATGCTGGCTTTGAATTGATTTCCCACTTTTTGTCCCTATAAAACAAATGTTTCTAGTTGAAATAATGTATATTAGAAAAAAAAACAGTGATGGTATTCCTACTGGGAATCAGTGATTCATTGGATAGCTCTGAGGTGTTGGAGACAGCAGGTACCAAACACAAGTATCATGGGAATCCCTATGATCATTGTGATACAAGCACATACAACTGAGGAGTTACTAAGTGGAATGCACATCTTGACTGCCCCTAATAGTCACTAGTACCATCAACTAAGTAATACCAGCTTAGGAATCATAGCAATATCGAGGTGTCCGTTCAAGTAAATTAAATACCCAAATGACACCGATCCATTCAGTCGAGCATTGCTATTTCCAGATTTCCTTATCCTCTCGTTCGATGCTTTGCTCTTCATCAGAGGTAAGCGAAACCTATGTTCCATTATAGATAAGATTTTATTTGATAAATCGCACAGTGTTTACAGTTATATGAACTGATGACGTTTCGAGCACAAACTATTGCTCATAATCATATCAAGTTGATATGATTATGAGCAATAGTTTGTGCTCGAAACGTCATCAGTTCATATAACTGTAAACACTGTGCGATTTATCAAAATAAAATCTTATCTATAATGGAATTATACTCTACCACAGTGCCCAAGTTTTATACTTATATCGAAGCCTATGTGTTTGTTGACTTCGTAACTGATGTCCATTAGTTTGTAAGATTATATTGACTGAGTAAAGTTCCACCACTAAATTCGTATACGCCTTTTTATCTATGACTTCTTAACATAAACAGAGATTCTTGAGCTCAAAGATAATGTCACGGATTGAGGGACTCTTCAACTTACCGGTAAAACCATATTTCGTTACTAGATATTTAGCTTAGTCTCTCAAGTATACCTACTATTTATGTAATACCTTCTAGAATTTTAACTTTTACTGTTAAAACAACTTCACTCTTCTTCAAGCACTTTTCTACATAAATATTCTTCTACGACAACATAATTCTCATAATAATTGAAGCAACAACAAACAGTGTTCAGTTACCACAAAACCCCTTAAACTAATCTTCGTGAAAACCAATTTCTTCCTTATCAGTATCTCCTACACAGTAAAACTGAATTGTTGGTATGATGAAAGGATTAATTTATACAACCATCAGCCAAAGGTTGCAACGCTTTTTTGGTGAGACTCACTTAAAGAAAAGTGTAAGACTAGTTGTGAATTTCTCTCCTTATTTAAAGAAGTCTTGACAACATGTGTAAAATACAGTAGTTACATTCATTGGAAACTCACCTTATCTACCTCCCATACTGTATCGACATCTGGATTAATTGGATTCACTTCTAAACGTATTTTGTAAATTGAGCCAATGTTTTCCAGAATAATCTATTTGAACATCACAAAAGGTATTATTTGTTAACGGCATAATATAACTTCTATGGTCAGATGTTTAACATTTACTAACATAATGTTAAAATTAAAGCTTAAATTCAGAGCGTCATGTCATTTGTTCTTAACTTAAATAAATGAAACAGAAGAAGCTGTTCTCCTCCCTGTAAGAAACTAAAATTTAGTACTTGTTCAATAGATGTCGATGACATCCTAAGATGTCACTGACCGACAGTTTAAGAGATCAGAGCTACAATCACGGAATAGAAGTATGTGTGATTGTGGTAAATATTCTGATTTCTGAAAGGGTATGGTTTTCCTCTATAGCAAACGTATGGTATTCTAATAAATGTCAACTGACATTACTGCACTGAACCACAAAACACTGCCAATCAGGCCAATTAACATAGGACTTGACAACAGCAAAGAATTATTGTACAATTCGATTTCAGTGGTTTGGTGACCAACAGATATTACACATTTTATACTAATCAATTCCAGCATTTGCGAAAAATCCTAACAACAACTCTCACAACTTAAAGAAAACTCATGCGAACGGATAATTTCCTGTCCAGGTTACAAGCAAAGAAACTTAATGAGTGAGAATTCATTATCCCACATAATAGTATAACTCATGGTAAGCGCTTTAAATCTGCTTGCCGATGTAATGTAATGCAGTGCATTTTCTCCCGAGGTTTATGCACTCTTAAAATGTCATTAGGTCATTATGAGTTAATGAATTAAAATTCTCCTGTGGCAGAAGTACCAGTTGCAAGCATATTTAATTTGATGTAGTCAAACGCTTACAGTGTTTGATAGTATCTTAATCGGTGGGTAACAGATACATTTCATTCTATTACCTGGATTTCAGTCAGCAATTAACTAATCATTTACAAGTAAACGTGCTACTGTCTACCTTTTTATATTTAACACAATAGAGGTAGCATATGAGGTAAAGAGGTTTTGGTGAAGTATGGGGAAGAAACGAATAACATCTATTGTTCAGTTAACAGTTTCGTCTACCATTTAATAAAGATGGTAAAATCAACATTCTGCCAAGAAAATTGCCACACAAAATAAGGTGACTAGACAGGATCACTTGAACCCCATTTCAAATGCTTAGGTAAGATAATAAATCTTTACAATTGTTCTTCGTTCCATGACTAGTCCTAATTAATTAATAAATTGATTGTCTTATCTTCCCTCATTCAACATTTCTAAGGAGATCTGTAGTTCTTCTAAAGTATACATCGTCCAACTGAAATTCAATAGTCAGCTACAAAAATTCAATCATTAGACAATTAAATCTCTCACAATAATTAGAGTGCACATTTCTTTCTGTTCAAACGATGTGAAGTGACCTTCAGTTTGGTGACTCGACGGTAGCACAGTAGATCAATATTTTTAATGGAACATCACCAAGCTTACAACACACCATTACAGTACACGTTATATTAAACATTTAGCTTACCATGAAATTGTCAATCCTATTTGTCTGAAATAATCCTTTGTTATCATCTGATCTGCCAATTAATATAGAACCAGAGCTTCCACCTGTTCCGTAAACAACCAACACAATTCTACAGTTCTCAGCCGATTTCTCCGTGAATATAGATAATTTCCAGCTAGAGTCTAGGAACAAAAAAAGATTTTCTTGAAACACTAATTCTCTGAAATGAATCGACTTTTATAAAATGTGAATGCTGAATCACTACTGTCCGCTTCCAGCATGCTCGTCTTCCAATAAACAAAATACTCATAACAAGTTACAAGTTCACATTAGGCTCCATTCTCCAGTGTTTCGTATGTTTCAGGGGATCAGATACAATTCAAGGCTGAATCCAAACCAAGTACAGCAATAAAACTTTCCAGCCAGTAGTGACTCGACCTCTGATTACCGAATGTCTAATTATTTCCATACCAATTAGTCTGGGTGAACCAAATATCCGCATGGATTTCATTTCACTTTAGTCACCCAGTAGTCCACTCATTTGTTGTGTGAATGAAACGTATGCAGCTAAGCCCAAACTTCACAAGACTTCCGCATCGATAAACTTGAAGCCACGAATACGATGTTACATTCAAAGGATAAGGTGACGATGCATTACGAGTAATATTTCATCAGACATTTTCTAAACAGTACATTTGGTACGGTGTGGAATTATGAGTCTGTGGTCCTATAGTGTAATTCCATTATGGGTAAATTTTGTTTTGATAAAGTCTCACAGTGATATACAGTAATGTTTACTGATGACGTTTCGAGCACAATTTATTGCTCATAATCATATCAAGATAATCACACGACTTCCTAAATTCATTTATATAGTTCCATTGTTTTTCTCTTGATTTTCACTTGATTTGATTGGTAATAGTATTTTCCATATTTCAGGTATGAGTGACGAGTCATTCCTATTGCATGTGTTGGGTGTAGACTCGATGAACAAGGATTCAGTAATCAACCTCTCTCTCCACCTACCTAGATTACTTTTTAGAATTTTAACTCTCTCCCACCCTATTGTGTGGTTGTGTGTTAGCGCATGCATTGCAATTGCTGAGCTTTTTTCTAAATTACTTATCTTCTCGGGGTCAACCATTCTTACCTTAGCTAAATTCTTATGCTCTGACAATCTGACTACCCCTGACCTACTAGTTTGGGTGAGTCTAAATGGTTTAATTTAATGCCTAAAACTAATAATGCTAGTAGAATATATGGTACTATAAAAATACATAAGCCAGGTTACCCCATAAGACCAATAGTAGATTTTAGAAATACCCCCACGTATGAACTATCAAAACACTTAGCTCTAATACTATGCCCCATTAGAAATCGTTCAAACTCTAGATTAACTAATTCATATGAGATGAAAAATAAAATAAATGACATTCAACTAGCGAATGATGAAACAATGGTTAGTTTTGATATAACTAGTCTTTATACTAATATACCAGTTAATATGGCCTTAGAAGCAGTTAAAAAAGAATTAACTGCGGATCCGGAACTCAGTCATAGGACAAAGCTGTCCATTGAAGAAATTATTTTAGGAATTCAGTTATGCCTCACATCTACTATCTTTAAGTTCCAAGGCAAAATATATAGACAAACAGAAGGTGTAGCAATGGGATCACCAATATCCCCTATCGTAGCAGACATATTTATGGACAGCTGGGAAAATAGTGCCCTCAATACATTTAACCCTACTCCGAAAATATGGTGGAGATATGTGGATGACACTTTCACAGTGTTAAAAACAGAACACATCTCTAGCTTCTTGACACATATAAACTCACAAGTTGAGGGAATAAAATTCACATTTGAATCAGAAAATGAACAAGGAGAATTAGCTATGTTAGATTGTAAGATAAAAAGAATAGAAGAAGGCAAACTACACACTAGTGTTTATAGAAAACCAACGCATTCTAATAGATATTTAGACTTTAATTCGTCTCATCCTTTAACTGTTAAGGCAGGCTTAGTTAAATGTTTAACAAACCGAGCAGTGGCACTAAGTAGCACAAAAAAAGATCTAAATGATGAATTAAAACAGATAGAAGAAGCGTTGGTGTTGAATAACTATCCTATAAAATTCATTAGGAAGATCACTAAAGGCCAAAAACAAAATAAAAATAATTGTGAAACTAGTAATAATAACATAAATAAGAAAGAATATAAGTCATCCACAGTTATACCATATAAAGAGGGGACATCTGAGACACTACGTAGGATTCTGAATAAAATAGGAATTAGGGTGGCATTTAAACCTACAAACTCACTCAGGGACAAGCTCTGTAGGTTAAAGGACCCAGTTGACCCAATTAGACAAAATAATATTATTTACAAAATACCATGCAATGACTGTGAGGTCAACTACATAGGTCAAACTAGTAGGTCAGGGGTAGTCAGATTGTCAGAGCATAAGAATTTAGCTAAGGTAAGAATGGTTGACCCCGAGAAGATAAGTAATTTAGAAAAAAGCTCAGCAATTGCAATGCATGCGCTAACACACAACCACACAATAGGGTGGGAGAGGGTTAAAATTCTAAAAAGTAATCTAGGTAGGTGGAGAGAGAGGTTGATTACTGAATCCTTGTTCATCGAGTCTACACCCAACACATGCAATAGGAATGACTCGTCACTCATACCTGAAATATGGAAAATACTATTACCAATCAAATCAAGTGAAAATCAAGAGAAAAACAATGGAACTATATAAATGAATTTAGGAAGTCGTGTGATTACCTTGATATGATTATGAGCAATAAATTGTGCTCGAAACGTCATCAGTAAACATTACTGTATAACACTGTGAGACTTTATCAAAACAAAATTTACCCATAATGGAATTACACTCTACCACAGTGCACAAGTTTTATTCTTATATTAATGGTCCTATAGTGTGTCTGATTTCCTCTTTACACTACATAGTCAGCAGCAAAATAATGAACAGGATATCTACATCAATTTATAGTAGTAATAATAATAATGATAATACTGTTCCTTCCCTGATCACTCGACCAAGACAGACTGAGAAATAGAAAATGAGGATTCTATACTAATTTTTCCATCAGTGAGTCATGAATAATCTATACAAATGTTTCATCAGTTCGATAAACAATTGGTGTTTTTCATGAACATTATAGAATGTAACCGTCTGCATGAAAAGTGTTTGGAAATACCTTAATTCAAGTTGTGTGCAGTAAGTCACAGTAATGAAAGTAAGCCACAGATGGATGTCATATTCAGCATTATTTTGCACACAACAGTGCTGAATAAAGTAGTAGTAACCTGTGCACAGATACAGTTTAAAGACAGTATTAGTGCATAAATTGTGACGACCAGATTGACATAATCTTCAGTTCTGTCATAAAGGCACTACTGATTTGGCAGTTATTCGAACTCCCTTTTGCCTGTTTCACTAGTGACTGGACAGATTTCTTCCCTACATGTCTCTGATGGCCCAGGTAGACTCACTATGTCTGAATCTTAGATACCGTCACAACTATGAGTTTACAAACGTCAATCAGAGAAAAAAATTGTTTAGAAATTTGATTTATCTAGTCCGACAACTATAATTTTATTTATAAGGTGAATTAATCCACACAAAAGGCATGAGAAAAGGAAGAATCAAACTACCTCTCATGTCCTTCTGTTCATTCTGGTTATCTGAAGTCTGTGACTGACTCATTCCATCATCATTTGGCTCTGCATCATCTCCCACTGTGCTTCGAACTGAATCGTTATCATTCGCGGCTGTTTCACACTGAGATTGAGTCAATTCTACTAAGCGCTCCCTTGAGTCGTCTTGAATTTGTTCCACCTTTTCAGCACTGAAATTTCCATTATTCGCAGAGGTGACATGTGGACTGAAATCAATATTTTTATTCGTCACAGCTGCACTAGATAATTGACCTTGACAACTTGGATAGCCATCTAGATATGATTTTATGTTCACAGAAAGGATGAAAATTTTGTAAGCGATGCTGTGTTTGTACAAAAAGTAATGCAGGGGAAAATGAAATGTGTAAAAAGTGCATGTACAGTATATTGTGAGATGATGCTATTCACCTTGTAATATCCGACAGATAACGTGTGCTAACATGACAGTGTCAGTAGAATTTGAAACTCAGCAGCGTTTATACGCTCATATCACACATACATATAAGACATTCATCTCTATACTCTATGTAAATATAAGATTTAGTTTGGCTTCTGATTTTGACACTGACAGAAATACATGGCTTCTGGTTGAAACTTATTTCGGGTGAACACTTGACACTCTTCAACGCACTTCAGATCTCCTTGCATTTTCCCTGTTCATTAGTCCTATCAAACAAAACTATGCACTTCGACCAATTTGCAGAGGTTGGAACCAAATAAACACACTAAAAGTGAGGTCGAAGCGGCTGAAGGGTGAGCATTTTCGAGGTTCATAGAAGGCATTGCTGATGATAGCTGTATATCCTGAGTTGACAAAGATAGAATTCACGGATCAGTGAATTGCGTTCGAAGCGACTGAATGGTCAACGAGATTGATCTCGTAACCTGAAGGTCCAAGGTCCGGTCTCTGATTTTGTCGTGGGTACGCATGGATAAAGAGTCGAGAACTAGGAAGGAACAACTGCACAGTGCTACACGATTCTAAATGATCTATGAAGCATCATTTAAACTCCATAATATTACATTCGATAAAATTGACAAATTGTTCATTTCTCCAGCCAGCTGTGAGTACTGGACAGCTGTTTCGTCCAGGTTTGGGACTTTTCATCAGCACGCACCCACTCACCGGGGTTACACACCGATAACCTGATCTAATGGTCAGTCCATGTATTCCAACATCTGCCAATTGATAACATAGTGCGACCACCCAGTGGCTTATTGGTCTATGAGCTCGCCTTGTAACTAGAAGGTCCTAGGTTCAAATCCCGATGGGTGGGTGCGTGCTGTGAAGAGTCCTAAACCTGGACGAAACAGCTGTCCAGTACTCCCAGCTGGTTTTCCAATGGTTCTTTAACTGATGTCAGCTCATGATGAAATCTTCCAACCAATCAAACAAAATCCCTAAAAATATCAACACTTGAAAACTTCAAAATGAGATTATTTCTTTATTATATCTTTCACCTCACTGTGATTCACTATCTATAGACGGATACTATATATATATATATATATATATATATATATATATATATATATATATATATATATCAGGACTCCAATACCTTCGAACTGTTTGGATTAGCTACTGAGTAATCTATGCAGTTATCATGTTTTAAAGTGAATTTCGAATATGATAGCCACAGTCACAGTGACTTTGAACAACCAATGAGTATTCAGATGCAAAAATGTTTCAGAATCCTTTGAAAATGTTTTCATTGTCTACTTATATTTCTTTAATTCTTCTAGCTTGATTATTACATAAAAAAACTACTCAATATCTTAAGAGCTAACTGAGTATTGATCATGTCAACTTGGAGAACATGACCTATCCTGTTTGTATGTTTGTGATGAAAAAGGACAATGAAGGACAACTATAAAAGTAATGCTTTTATTTTAAATGAATGCTTACATTGGACAAGACGATCAGAGTTTTTATTTAACTGACGGTATTCACTTTCATCTAAAAGACTTTATTTAACCCATTGTGAGTAACAAACATATTATATGTGGATTGTGAACAAGGTGGTCATATATCTTCCTTCTTTCATCTGCTCTGCATTAAACCATACTCGAATGTATACTTTAATCGATACACTCTAACAAACTTTAACTTTTTGTTAACTGTCAGATGTAAGCTAACCCCTTGAATTCTTTTCTAATGAAGGTCTCATTAAAAGTAAAATACGTTAGACTTATCCAGCTATCCAGTTAGCTGTATATCATTAAAAAAAGTTATGTAGTTAAGGTAAGGAGAGTAGCATACACCTACATTTAATTACTTCAGGATAAAATCGACAGTTTTCTTCCATTGTATGCTTTTTGTATAGGGTTACAGTTCCATCTTCATTCATTCCAATAGTTTTATTGTTATCCACAAGTGGTGACAACTGAATAAAGCCTTTACAACGAACACGATTTATTTTGAAGTAACAGTCCATGCCACCACCACCCTGTAAATTAAATCACATAGAAATCTTGTGCTATATAAACTCAATACAGTTTTTAACATTTTAACAGATTCAATACTAAACATGCTATTATTGGCAGCAAGATTTCATCAATATACAAATTAGTATAACACCACAATATCATTCAACTTGCACTAATATCTATTTCTAAAATAAATTGTAATGAAAAAGAGTTTATAGTAATATACTGCTACGTCTAAGTAACTCTTCTAATGAAGGCTCACTCTAGTCGTCGACAAAAGTATCTCATGAAGGCATATGAGGCAAATATTTACGTTTCGATGTGCAGAGGAAGCGAAGTGATTTGTCTTTGTCGCACTAACATGTATGTGCCACAAACAGTGCAATCTGGTGATATGATCTGTCTAGCTGTCACCTATTTACTATTTATCTGCACCTAGAAAATATACTTGATGTTCAACTTCCTCTATTCGATGTATTATGTGAGAGGTGAATACGATTATTCATAAAGGTGTATATGAAAAATATAACATTACAAATATTTTCACAAACTCAGGTTTACATGTTCTAATAGTAGTAGAAACGTCGGCGGATATGAAAATAGTTTCCTATTGACTGTGCTGTGCTTGTCATTACAGTTATGTTGAGCAGTACTCTCTTAGTAAGTACCTGTAATCACTAATGACTAACATTTTGAGAATTTCCCACAAAGAATCAGTGCTATCATTTTTAGCTATGCTTGCAAATCTGATAAGCTTTCAAAGAGAAGCATTACAGTTAACGATCACCTTCTAGCACTGTAGTCATATTTACACTTCATCGATATCACTTGGAATAAACCGCCACACTGTTCAACTTCACTGTGAACCGAATCGTCTTGAATGCAGCCATCAGGAATTCAATAAACACTCTTCCCCCATAATTAATTCCTCCGATATAATCTCTTGTGTAAACTCAAGAATAACTTCAAGAAATATCAGCAGTTTAATGATAGTTGTAGTAGATAGCTAGCTAATATTGTACTACTAAAAGTGGCTAAAAATAATCTAATCTAAATAAACTTAAAGTTAGATGCCACTGAAGCAAGTCTGTAAGACCGAAAAAGAAAGTATTCTGTACACTTGTAGACTTATGCTTATAGTAGTGTTGAAAAACATTAATTCATATGTGGATGTACTAAAGTAAGATTAATAAACGCTGTCAGCAACTCACCATAGCATCTACAACATCTGATGCAACGCGTAGAAAGTGTCCTGGCCAAGCAATAGACTCAAATCGTCTAACACATTTGTCTACTTTATGTACCCTCCAGTAGGCTTCAGAAATTCTCTCTCCTGTTGCACGTAATTCAAATTTACAATTACTGATATTGTCTTCTTCATCTTTCTGATTCGTCTCTCTAACCAAGTTAGGTATTAATGTTTGTTGAACTCCAGTACACATCCATAATATTGTCTGATCCCTTAAACATCCCTATGTAGCAAAGATTATGCAGAATAATTAAAATAGAAGTTGGAAATATGCTAACACGGTTCACACTTTCCTCTGCATGAATTTCCAAAGAACCAAGGTGTAGTGACTCAGTATCCATCCCTTTTAATTTCATTTCTACTCAACCACTGATTGGACAGCAGGTTCACCTCGCTATTGATATTAATAGACACAAGAATTTGGGACAGAAATTCATTTTGCATTCATTAGGCAACTAAACTAGCTTATGGATTTTGACCAACCTTTGAAAGTTGTGGACTACACTGCATTAGTACTATCCTGTGATTCTTCGGAAGTATGTTATACACTAAGTGGAGCCTTGAAACCCATTTCATTAAGCCCATGACATAGTAACACCCGACCATACGTCATTCATAAGTGTTACCTTGGTCTAAACATTGATGAGTTAAATTTATCCCAGTTTGACCTTCGAATAAAGAATGAGAGTATACCAATATGCTTTCATTATAAGATGGGCTACTTTAATTTCTTATACAGCCTTACAATCTTCATCACGAGATCTCATGTGGTAGTTAAGATTCAGGAAGGAGAACTAATAATGAGTCATTGGGTTACAATTTGTTCAGCATGCATACCTAAATTTTTTATAGCATAATATTTATTGCGTATTGTATACGACCCAGGTGTTTACAATTTCATATTTCTACATAGGTGAGTCATCGCCTCACTAAACCTACTCATGTCGCAGGTGTTCAGCAGTTTGATCATTTTTTTTATCTTAAATAGCCTACTGAATGTATGAATATATGTGCTCGTAACTTTCTAGTCTGTTGATGAGTCATAACGACCTTAAATTTTCATCATCATGTGACATATATATATTGATTTATTTCTTTTTCGAGACATGTTTATGAACCCTGGTTATTGAGGGACCTACTTTTTTTTGTCAGTGGTTGATAGTGTTGATTGGTGTGAGTAGTTGGATATAAATCGTATCAGTCATTCAGTAGTAGTATATATAGCACCATACACTGATTATAAATTATTTAAATTAATCCCAGCGTGTTAAGAAAATCAAAACAAGATTTTTCTGAACGTTTCACTGTGTAAGCCACAGCTTCTTCATCAGATTTGTTCGGATAAACACGCTGGGATTAATTTAAATAATTTATAATGAATCAATCTAACTCGGCACTCAAATTATTCTAGGAAGACCATACACTGATGCTTGATTTCTCTATTGCTATTTGTGGTATCAAGCAGATCATTTACCTTGATCTGAATAACTACGCCTTCCAAAGGAATCTGTGGTGAAATTTCACCCTCAACTGCGTTATTTTCATTTTAAACAAAGTCTTATTAAGATTTCTCTGAATCACTCCCCAATAATCAGGCGATGATTACATATACGTAAAAAATCACACTTTCAGAAGTCTTGGAGAAAATGAAATAAATAATCCCAAGCTTTTGTTAGGCGAATAGTATTGAACGTCCTTCCGTAAATAACTAAATTCAAAACAGCATAGGTATATATATACATGTACATATGCCTTAGGGTAACATTTTGTCTTCACAATTCTTGGTCATGTCACTGAAGAAGTTCGGACCGATTTGCAGAACGAAAAATTAGAATTATTCATTTCAGTTTCCCTGCGATCTATAAAAATATCACTTCCACATATGTGTTGTTTGCAAATTGTGACATTTTGGATATAGTGATTCTAGTGTATAGAAATGGTTTTACTTCATGTCATGTAGTGTCATCAGTAGGATTATGCATTTTACACTGTTAGTAATAGCAGTTCAACTCCTCTCCTACTCTGTACCAGCTTAATTGATTTGTGAGATGGTTGGAAGCCCTGAGCAGGAAGCCTTGCACCTAGGTTCCTGTCTAGTGTCCAGTCATAGTATCTATTACAGCTCTACAGATGGTCGACCACGAGACCAAGCAGCTCACTGGTAACATTGCTAGATACAGCGCTGGATGATCCGATTTCCAATCTCAGAAGGGACATGAGTTTCTTCGGGGTTGCGTGTACACCTTGCTGATGAGCACGAAACCCAGGTCCAAGGCTTTCTGTCGATTGCCTGTCACCATACAACGGGTGCTACGTACTGTAGCGGGGTGGCCACATTGCAAATTTAACTGATGGAATTTATTCTGCATCAAAAGAAGTAATAGACAGACACATGACATTAGTTACTGACTAGTCTCCAATCAAAATTGTTTTGTATAATTTGAATGTAGGTCATGTCATAGTTCCACTGAAGTTTGTAATTCTTTCAATAGAGGAATGCCAGCTGAGTGTATCGTCATCAATATCACGGGTGGAGTGGACATTTCGAAACTTACATTCTTTAATACTGATCCTTGTAACTATATCAACACTAATCAGACACTTCAGAATGTTATCAGCGAGCTAGAATCTAGCTAAGAACTTAATTTTTCTAAAACCAGAATTGTCACGTCACCAAATGTCACAAAGAGAGAAGAGATATGCATAACTGCGGAATCGTTAAATCAAAATTCTTCCTACCGGTTAGTTCTATGTGACTGATGAGCGACATTGGAACTGAGATCCACTGTCCCGCGAATTTTACTAAAATTAAATTGGTAGTGATTAGACCTTGCAGGGTGAGTTTACTAAAGCACTTTAAGCTTGATAAACATTACAGTTACCATATAAACACGTAACCAGAAGTGTATCGGTTGAGTGACACAGTTAATCTGAAACTATGATTGAGATTACTATTGTTTGACTGATAGAATAAAATGTATTTCAGTCAGTCCTGAAAATAACTGACAAGTTATCATCATTAAATCGTAAAGTAGTGTGTATGGAAAAAAATTTCGATTGAAGAAATTGAGTAGCTCTGTTTAAATTACCCAGGCCATACATCTGTGTAAAAATAACAATTTACCAACTGAAGAGAGTATATATGTATAGTCTCCACCGTGGTGTGCAGTATTATTATTATATCCTTTAGTTCCTAGAGGAACATAGGGCTTCAGCTGCGCACTTCCATTGCCTTCGGTTTTCTGCCAACCTTTTCACCCCGCTCCGAGTCTGTCCACATGCTTTCATCTCCTCCTCACATGACCTCCTCCAAGTCACCCTTGCACCGACGACCAACTCGCCGCTTCCCTTTCGGGTTCCACTCGAGCAATGGCTTGTCTAGTGATGTCGCTTGATGGCTTCCTCAGAGTATGGCCAGCCAATCCATCTCCATTTCTTCCTGCCCATTTGTTTCACTATCGGTTCCTGCTGGGTTGGTTCGCTCCCAGAGATCCCTTGTTGCTGATCTTTTCTGGCCAGCCATCTGATCTTGAGTGGTATTGAGCAAAGACAGCTGTTGATGAAGGTTTGAAGTTTGTTTGAGATGCTCCTTATGACTCGCCAAGTCTCTGATCCGTATAGAAGCACTGATTTTACATTGGAGTTGAAAATCCGGACCTTATTTTTGATGATGAGTGGCTGTTGACCTCCACACAGACTTGAGAGTAATGAAAGCTTGCCTTGCTTTTCCGATCATCGCTACTTTGATATCCTCGTCAGTTCCGCCTGTAGTTGAAACGATGCTTCCCAGGTAGGTAGGTTGGTGAAGGAGGTTGTTTCTTTGAGCTTCCTCCCATTTATGCTGGCTGATTGTTGTCTGTGTTGTTGTTGTTGTTGCTGTTGGTGTTGGCCAGGAATCTTCATCACCTCTGTTTTATCTGTGTTCACCTGAAGGAAGTCCTATCCTCTATGGATGCTTCTTCTGCCGACTTGTTGCTTTTCAATTGCATATCTTCCAGTTTGTATGGGAAATCAGACATATATCATCGGCGAAGTCCAGATCCTCCAAGTCCTTTTTGTGTGAGTCCATTTTATGCCTGTTTCCTCATTGCCCCCCGATGTTTGTCGCATTATCCAATCTACTGCAATCAGGAAGATCATTGGCGATAGCAGGCAGCCTTGTCTCACTCCCGTCCTTACTTCGAAGGCTTCCGTATGTTTCCCGTTGTGGATTACTTGGCATGCAGCATTGTCGTATAACTGTTGGATGGGATGTACAACTGTCGGTGGGACCCCGTAGTAGCGGAGTAGTTGCCAAATGACCTCTCGATCGACGCTGTCGAGTGCCTTTTCAAAGTTGATGAAGTTGAGATAGAGAGGTGAATGGAATTCCAAGCTTTGTTCAATGATGATCCGTAGTGTGGCGATTTGATCAATGCATGACTTGTTTCTCCTGAATCCAGCCTGTTCCGGTCGAAGTTTTTCATCCAGGTAGGCGAGTTTGATTCTCTCCAGGGTGATATGGCTTAGTATTTTGCTTGGAATGGACAGGAGCATAATTCCGCGCCAGTTTTTACATTGAATTAAATCTCCTTTCTTTGGCAGTTTGAATAAGTATCCTTTCTTCCAATCCTCAGGTACTTTGCCCTCTTTCCACACCTTCTCCATTAGTGGTGTCATCAAGTCCGCTGTTGTCTCTGGGTCCATTTTCAATGCTTCTGCTGGGATTCCATCTGGTCCCGCTGCTTTTCCGGTTCTTAGCATCTTGATTGCATTCAGAACTTCTGATTTCGTCGGAGGGTCGATGTTCACTGGTAGTTCTGCTTCCGTTGTTGGTATTTTTGGGCGCGTTGTAGGTGGCGGTCGATTTAGAAGTCTTTTGAAGTGTTCAGCCCAGTGTCTTCTTTGTTCCACCTCTTTGGTGATTGATTTTCCATTGTCATCCTTTAGCGGCTTAATCTGTGTCGAACTTTTTTCTGATAGGTGCCTAGTTGTTTGGTAGAGTGTGGCGAGGTCTCCTTTGCCTGCAGCTTGTTCCGCTTCACTTGCCATGGTTTCATAATATTTTCTTTTGTCTTCCCTTGCACTCTTCTTTACTCTTTTGTTCAGTGTATAGTAGCTTGAATTCAACTCCTGTTTTTGTTGCTCGTCGGTGCACTGGATAATCTTTTGTTTCACTGTCCTTCTCTCTTCTCTTAGTTTCCAAGTGTCCATAGTGAGCCACTGTTTGTCCTGCCTCTTCTTTCTACCTAGAACTTCCATGCAGGTTTGGCTCCACACCGTTTTCAAGTTTTCCCAGTGCTTTTCGACGCCGACCTCTTTGCTGGTGTTGATTTGGGTCTCGGCTTTGTCCTTTACGCTTGCAATGAAGATGTTCTTTGTAGCCTGGTCCTTCAGCTTTTGAGTGTTGAACTTGGCTTGTGGTCCATCTGCAGCTCCTCCTTCTCTGGAAGCTTTTAGTTTGATGTGGATTGTCCCTTGTACGAGATAGTGGTCTGAGCCAACGTCTGCTCCTCTTCTTACTTTTGTGTCCAGTAGGCTGCACCTCCACTTCCTTGAGATTGAGATGAAGTCGATTTGGTTTTTGGTTTGCCCGTCTGGTGACACCCATGTAGCCTTGTGGATATCTTTGTGTTTGTATACACTGCCACCAGTCACTAGTTCGTTGAAGGCGCAGAAGTCGGCGAAGAGTTCTCCATTTTCATTCATTCAAACGTACAATTTCATAATTGAACTCCGTATGAGTTTCAGTAGGTATTCTGTGTATGGAATAGTCCAGTTTCGCAGTCGGATTTGGAATCCCATCTGATTTGCTTAGGTGGTTACATCCGTTAGAACAACCATTCCGATGTTGTTAAAATCAACACTAATAATAGTGCAGTAGCTTAAAATATGTGGAGTATAATCTGTTATCGTGCAGTTTAAACATTCTAATACTAATTGTCTTGAGTTCTACATAAAAATGATTAAAAAATGAAGCCGATTTTCACTAATTCTTCTGCAATAATCAAAGTTAATAAGATAACAGCATTCACCTTTACATAAGGCATAAACAATTTCCCGGGTATTGTTAAAGGACCTGTTGCACCGCTGACAATACGGCCATCGGGTCCAACGTAAACATGAGTTCTTCTAGATCGAAGCGAATTGCATTTAACCGATTCAAGTGCGACAAGACGATCTGACTGCGGTCGAATTCTGAAGTCAAAACATTGCGACACCAAGTTCCTGGATAACTGCGAATTGCTCGAATTAACTAGGCAGAAATAGTGTGAAGAAAAACTGTTAAAAAATAAGGGAAGGGAGAAGAGATTCGGTAGTTAACAAAATTTAAGGTATGAAATATTACCTCATGTGGTATAATCGCCAACACAGAAATCATCAAACAGAACGCATTATTACTTATGGTCACTGAAGAAGAAGGAGAAGAATAATGAGGGAAAGGGGAATAAGATCAACTGTATGTCGAATATCCTCATCTTGTCAGTCTGTCGTCCTATTTATACTACTCGGAGATCAACTAAATTTGAAAGAACTGAAAAAATCACCTTACACTAAACATTTGTCGACAACATAATGTAGGTTTAATTGTAATGATAGTCTGACTGTTGGTGAAAGGCATACGGTAATAAAATATATATCAAACTACAGTCTGATACTCATGCACTGTTGTCTCATTTCTTATACCTATTCACTTAACGTTGAGGTTTAACGAAGTCCATCCCTCCTCAAAGAAAATTGAGAATGACAACTTTCACTTTCTTGCTGTACAAAGAAATAACTATTAAAAGCATTAAAGCAAATGGAAAGTGTGTTTCACTTACTTGTCATGTGTAAACCCATAGTTTCATCTAAACACATTGTTAACCATGGATTTTTTACACTTGTGAAGGAACGAATATACTTGACATTTCTAATGTCACTACTAGTACTGCTTTTGTGTTTGCTGTTGCCGCCATTAGTAGTCACAGTAACCGGCGGAAAACTCAAATAATCCACATCACGATTGAATGTACAACATCCCTGTTCATCTGAGGAATTTTTCCAACGGGACTGGGAATATGAATGTTGTTTAGATACCTTGGGATGTGGCGATACAACAAATGTTGCGTGACATACATTGAAAACTGCTGTCAGACAAACGAAAAATGAAGAATGAAGTTGATATTTTAAAAAAGGATTTCGGGAAAGAAAATGCGCGAAAGTGTTGTTTTTAATTTTTGTGAAATTGATTTGATGTATCTGTTACATTTCTATGCCTAAAAGAGATAGATCATCCATATACACACTCAAAATGATCGCGAAACTGTTCAGCATCACTGCATTTGTTAAAATTTAGTTATGCAGGCCTCTAATATAAGGTGTCTCTCTCTATGCGGGCTATGCGTAACTCATGTAATGGGAAAAAAAATTAAGTTTTTTTTTAAATCACAGCTTGATTCCATACTGTATTTTTGGTACAAGTATGGAATTTTCAGCGTGGATATCGGTTATACATTTAAGGATGACAATCTCTTACAATCAAAAACTATAATATTAATAGTAATGACAATGATAATCATTTTATTCCAAGGAATTACAATTATAAAAAAAGAGATTTTCAGCGTTAAGATGTTTGTGATTGATAAAAAGAAAACTACAGGAGCAAATCGATGCAAAATGTAAGTTGATGGTAAATGGTGTTTTCGCTAGCCGGAAATTCAAACAGGTCATCTTAGAGTTTTCTTGAGTTGCTATGATGATGTTTCTGTTTCTATCGTTTATATAAACGCCTACAACCATAGCAAATTTACTTCTGGAATCATATCAAAATCTTTTCTCTTCCTAGTATTCGGACCATATTTATCTCATGTGGTTTGAAGGTTTAGTATTTGATTATTATTTTTTTTACTTCTGTTTTACAATTGGTTCAAGCGACTGTATCGACTAGGGGAGATGTCAGACAGCTTCATACTAACTAGAGAATGTGAAAGTGAGTTTTTCAAACAATAACTATAACCATACTTCTCAAGTGGACTTAACCGAATGAAGCAGGGTGATAAGCACAGTATAGCTTGTTTTGTTTTATCACTAATCGACATCATTCTAATGTAGGAAAGTTTAGAAATAAAGTCGTCAACTTAGCTGTCAAGTAAAAAGCAAATCAGATCACTAACAGGTCGAAATGGCAGCGGATCTCATGTAGACAATGAATTGGACTCGAGGATACTATCTAAAAGGCAACTGGATGATTGTAATGCCGACTTTTATTCTTCTAATCAACAAGTTAACGTATATCCAACATGAATGACATCTGATCAAAGATTTCTCGGACTAAATTATGAAATGTCATTGTTGTCGACGTGTCTGTGGCAGTCTCATGAATTTCAAATACACGCTTGATTGATGCATCAAGAGTGGAATATATGCATCGTGGAAACAAATGTAAGTTGACCAACGGACCAAACACCTAATGCATATAAATAGATTCGAGATATGCGAATCTCTCTATTGAAGTCAGTAAGAATAATTTGTACTCATTGTCTTGATTTATACACCATAAACGCCAAGTGACGTCACATCCCTAAATGTCTACATTTTCAAAGACTAATTTTTAAGAGGATTTGGTTTTCCAGTTAAAAAACCTGTCGCACTCATATTTTGATTTCGTGGTGATTGAAAAAACCCAATCCATATAGAAATGACACCCGCATTTTGACCTGGGAGATTTCAGATCTCCTAACACACAACTATGTATGAGTGGTTTAATTCAAAGGAAAAGTTATATGGTAGTTTACTGTGTTAACTCATACTTTATGTTATCTCCAGAATGTCTCCCTATCATCCTTGCATTCCTACACTTACTACTTACAATTTCATAAGTAGCTTAGCAATTCCTAACAAAAAGCACAGTGTGTGACTGCATGTAACTGATTTGAAAAGCATTTCAAAACAAGTTGCAATCCGTCGTAATTTCTTAACAAGCGCCCTCCAGCTCTCTGCTTTGCTGAGAACTCCACTCAGAGTCCCAGAAACCACTTCCGCCATGTAACACTTAATATTCAGTGGAATTATTGAGGTGACTGATTTGCATTTCATTAAATCAATTTGGTGATAATTTACTTGAAACGAACTGGTGAATTCAAGATTATACCTGTGTAGTAACTGTTTAATTCACCAAAGGTGATGAAGAGTGGGAAACAATGTGCCGGGTGTTAAGGGATTATATTGTGAGAACCATTTGAAGAGGAGATGAATGCTCTTGGAGTGTAGTGAAGACAGTTAGAAGTCATGACAGAGAACTGTGTGCAATGAAGCTGTATGTTCTACTCGGAATTCAACCGATCAATGAATCGATCAACACTAATTGGAAGAAGGACAAACTGAGGAACCACGAACCGTCTCTTGTTTGAATCCTGAATATATACTGCATGTATGCAGATAAACTTCATTTCTAAAGACTGTATGTCGACATAAATAAGCGGATTGACTAAATCTAGCTGTGGTCTAGCCTTTAATGAAGTCTACTTTATTCGCATTTTTGGTCTGTCTCAGTATACCTTATAACAGTGCTTATTCAATTCAATGCATTTGTCCTAAAATGATAACAGTGTCCTCACATAGATTAATTTGAATCCACAAATTTCGTCAATGTGGTGATAGCAACCAAGTTCTGCTGTTTAAGGATGTAGTCTCTGACAGTGCATGTCACAGTAACCACAAAACCCAGGGACTTATTACATGTGAAGCCTGCTATGAAAAGACCAGGAAAAAACTACATATTTCAGTTTCATTACCTTGTGTACCCTTCTCTCCCGCTACTCCATGAATAAGCTGACTGTTAATTCTGTCCGAGTGGACTATTTGCAATGGCGCTCCAGTTAGATAGCTGTAGAAAACAATTTTCGTATCTGGTTTGAACTTCCATTTTTGAACTTGCCACTTTATGAGTACGCATCAAGTTACGCATACAGAATGAAAAATAAAACAAATGCATGTTTGAAACACTGATCACTGACAAATACCAATTTCATTTCATATCAGATTATAATTATAACTATTCACGAATTTCGACAAGCTTTTCAAGGAATGATAGGAATGATTAGAGTCAACCAATGCGCCAAGTGATTGCTTTTAAAACTTCCTTTTATGCTCACCTCATACAAGTGAAGGCTTATCGCCTAATTCTTTTCAACCTTACAAGGCAAAGCTTTCGCTGACCGCTGATTGATGTGAAAACCTCAACTACTAGTTATGTATGCAGAGTCTCATGTTATCCGTCAAGTCAATAAACTATTCAAATATATTACGACGATTGGGATGGCATTCTAGTTCATATAGACGTTCGTGTATTTGAAGAGCCTAACGATATATAAAACATATCTGACTGCATTATTAAGCCTATCTCGTATAGTCTGCTCAGGAATGTACGGGTTTTCGACACCAATCAGTAACAAACAAGATTGTTGTATAGAGCCAACAGATTTACCCAGATGTCACATCGTTGGAAAAATCCATCACACATTATTTGCTGCATATGACGCCTTAAACACCACTAATTGTTGATAATCAGTGTCGCTTTTGATACGATTATTATTATTATATTATTATCATGTCCTATAGTTCCTAGAGGAACATAGGGCTTCAGCTGCGCACTTCCATTGCCTTCGGTTTTCTGCCAACCTTTTCACCCCGCTCCGAGTCTGTCCACATGCTTTCATCTCCTCCTCACATGACCTCCTCCAAGTCACCCTTGCACCGACGACCAACTCGCCGCTTCCCTTTCGGCCTGGTTCCACTCGAGCAATGGCTTGTCTAGTGATGTCGCTTGATGGCTTCCTCAGAGTATGGCCAGCCAATCCATCTCCATTTCTTCCTGCCCATTTGTTTCACTATCGGTTCCTGCTGGGTTGGTTCGCTCCCAGAGATCCCACCTGTTGCTGATCTTTTCTGGCCAGCCATCTGATCTTGAGTGGTATTGAGCGAAGACAGCTGTTGATGAAGGTCTGAAGTTTGTTTCAGATGCTCCTTATGACTCGCCAAGTCTCTGATCCGTATAGAAGCACTGATTTTACATTGGAGTTGAAAATCCGGACCTTATTTTTGATGATGAGTGGGGCTGTTGACCTCCACACAGACTTGAGAGTAATGAAAGCTTGCCTTGCTTTTCCGATCATCGCTACTTTGATATCCTCGTCAGTTCCGCCTGTAGTTGAAACGATGCTTCCCAGGTAGGTAGGTTGGTGAAGGAGGTTGTTTCTTTGAGCTTCCTCCCATTTATGCTGGCTGATTGTTGTCTGCTGTTGTTGTTGTTGTTGCTGTTGGTGTTGGCCAGGAATCTTCATCACCTCTGTTTTATCTGTGTTCACCTGAAGGAAGTCCTATCCTCTCTGGATTCTTCTGCCGACTTGTTGCTTTTCAATTGCATATCTTCCAGTTTGTTTATGGGAAATCAGACATATATCATCGGCGAAGTCCAGATCCTCCAAGTCCCTTTTTGTGTGAGTCCATTTTATGCCTGTTTCCTCATTGCCCCGCCCGATGTTTGTCGCATTATCCAATCTACTGCAATCAGGAAGATCATTGGCGATAGCAGGCAGCCTTGTCTCACTCCCGTCCTTACTTCGAAGGCTTCCGTATGTTTCCCGTTGTGGATTACTTGGCATGCAGCATTGTCGTATAACTGTTGGATGGGATGTACAACTGTCGGTGGGACCCCTTGGTAGTAGCGGAGTAGTTGCCAAATGACCTCTCGATCGACGCTGTCGAGTGCCTTTTCAAAGTTGATGAAGTTGAGATAGAGAGGTGAATGGATGGAATTCCAAGCTTTGTTCAATGATGATCCGTAGTGTGGCGATTTGATCAATGCATGACTTGTTTCTCCGAATCCAGCCTGTTCCGGTCGAAGTTTTTCATCCAGGTAGGCGAGTTTGATTCTCTCCAGGGTGATATGGCTTAGTATTTTGCTTGGAATGGACAGGAGCATAATTCCGCGCCAGTTTTTACATTGAATTAAATCTCCTTTCTTTGGCAGTTTGAATAAGTATCCTTTCTTCCAATCCTCAGGTACTTTGCCCTCTTTCCACACCTTCTCCATTAGTGGTGTCATCAAGTCCGCTATTGTCTCTGGGTCCATTTTCAATGCTTCAGCTGGGATTCCATCTGGTCCCGCTGCTTTTCGGTTCTTAGCATCTTGATTGCATTCAGAACTTCTGATTTCGGATTTCATCTTGATACGATTAATTGATCAGAAACATCCAAAGTATCCTCCAGTAAATTAATATCGTTTCGTTGTGATATGCATTCAATAAACGAATTAACGTGAAATCACTTCCATTACAATTTACATAAAGCCCACAATTTATTGGATTTGATTTGGGAAAGCTACCATTTTTCCTCATAGCGTTAAATCTCTAAGTACAAGTGTTGGTTAATGGAAACTTCTGTTGTCTTGTTTTGTGTCGTGTTCTTATGTAAGTGGTGCTTTTAAAATCCAAAATAACGTTGTGAATTCCTCCACTAGATTCCAATCTTCCTGATACAAATGGCCACACAAAGCGCATTCTGCGTTGAATTTTCTGTCACATGTATCCCTCCTAATGAGATAGTTCGTTTAGGGGTATTTCGCCGTCAGAACTTTTGGTTTCATAATAGATTTCATCATTATCAGCCACCTATGAGAGGCCTTCGGCAATTAACGACTCTTTTGCCTAAGTTTGACAACAGCCGTTATTGCTCACCGAGTTCTTGCCATTCCTATATTAAAATTCATCTAATAAATCTCTCTCTTGAAACATCTTCTGGGGTTTAATGCAGCACAACTATGGGGTCAAGCGTGCGTTCTATTGAACGATTGTAGCTCAGAACAAAATAAGTGGTCAGTGCCTCATAGATCTCGGTGTTTGCATCATCTGTTCATAATTGTCTTCGATTTGTAGACAACTTGTTTTCTTCTTTACATCTTCAGTGTGGCTCCACATTGAAAAGAGATCTTAGTGGATTTCCCAACTATAGTTTGTTTGACTTTTTCTTTATTTATAGGGATTCCAGGTGGTCAATCATTAGCTTACAGACTCGACACTCGGATGCTAAGGAGGTGGTCAGTTTATTTGTGTAAATAATTTCCCAGTAAACTCTTGAGCATTTGGAAGGATCATTCCGTCGTATTATTACCATTTTATCGTTTTGCTTCCATTCCCAAAATCACAACTACGTGATGCAAAATAATTATTTCACTGAGCTTATGCTGTAGTTTCACGTATCCCATGTGCCAACAAATCCATATTTATTTATAAGGAATCATCAATTCTGCTTAAACAAACACTCTTGGTCTGAAGAGTACTGATAAGCAGTAGCAGGTAAATATTTTGTATCCGATATGTAAAAAAAACATGTCTCCAAAATAAGATGCAACCCTGATGATAAAAAAACTCAATCTGTAAAAGACTTTGTCGAAAAAACACTCATCAATCCATGTTAAGGGATTCCGCAGTTATAAATCTTATCAGTTTAATTATATACATATTATTATCATTATTATTGTATTATATATTCTTACATATATTTGTTCCTTTTCATGAGACATAATTGATTCAATCAAATCTGGTGTAAGAGCTCCACTTCCACTGGCGGGAATTAATTTAATAGGTAGGGAATTCATTCCGACATCTGTTGTTAACCATTGAAAACAGGGAAAAGATAGGTTCCACAAGCATCCTTACAGTTCGAGAGTTTGGTTTTCACTAAGAAACTATCAGTATTTGTAACTGATGGAGACGATGATGGCGGTGGTAGAGGTGTAGGCGGAGAAGAAGGCAGAAGAGAGTTATTTGGAACACTTCTTTGACTCCTGACTGAATCGAAAGTTGGTGAGAGTTGGTGAATAACTACATATTCCAGATACCAGCCGCTATCAGTAGTCACACTGTTACTATCATTTCCGGTATCAATCGGTTCTAACCATATGGTGAGTGCCTTCAGTCTTCCAAGGAATACAGCCTCCACATTAAATATGCTTGTCTAAAGAAGGAGGAGAAAAAGGAGAAGTGAGATAAGGCACGTTTATGAAAGTAGTCACGAAAATGCCATTTAAATGAACCTCCGTGTGAGTGTAAGATTGAATAAATACTTAGATCTCGTCAATATTAGAAAGTGATTTATCTTTGAATCTAGTCTTCATCGAAAGCTAACGTCACCACTTGGCATTACGAAACATCGAAATGAATCATGAAGTGACTAACTTCACTGGAACACCCGAAATATCCTCTGACTGACAGTATCAAATTATTTGAAATACTTTACTCCACACTGAGCTACATGAATGTGGAAGATGAAAAACGTCGCGTGTGACTGTAAGCATAGTTTTTACTGGATATGAATTCATCATCCCGTCTTAAGATATCAGCTCTTACAAATAATACTTGAAAATTTCAAGTAATTTAAGAAACATCAAAACGCCTTTCACATACCTCAGTTATTCTACCTACCTGCTAAACTAAGTTCCAACTTTTTATTCACAAACATCAGCTTATTGGCGAAGTGACAATGTTCTGACTGTTAACAGAACTTCTGCTGAGTTTTCGTTCCTCCAGTTGGAAGAGAGTGGAACTCTCCATTAGTTATTTTCATGCTAGCCAGTTTACCTTAAAATAAAATTAGCTTTGAAGACACAAAGAGGTTTATTACTTTGTCTTGCGTGCACATATAATGCGAAATGTAAGGCAACTTCTGCCCATTTTAAAATTTGAACTGCCCAAGAAACACATTGTAAACACGAAACTGATACTCCAATCTATGTTTGCACTAATGTATGGTTGGAAATTTTACCGTACGAACGGACTCCTTTAAAGGTCAAGATAACAGTTGACTTGGTTGTGCATGTCTTTAAGAAATGTTTATACGGTTGTTTTTGAGCATATGACCTGATTTGTCACCAAATAAGTCTGTAAGTAAGGTGAGTACATTGGATCAATAACATCAGTGATGCTTCTGTTGATCTGCAACCGCAGCGAAAACGTTTTATTTCCAAGTATTGGTTTTGTAGGGATTTCGTTTCTTTGGATGGAGGGTTTCATCATTAGCTGATATCAGTTAGAGAACTATTGGAAAACTAGCTGTGAGTACTGGATAGCCGTTTCGTCCTGGTTTGGGACTCTTCACCAGTGCTCATCCACTGGGTTTCGAACCCAAGACCTTCTGGTCTACGAGCTCTTCTTGCAACCAGAATGTTTTATACTGTGCTAATCCCCATCAAGGTCCTGAACACACACTTAGGCTAACAAGAAGCAAATGTCATGTCGTAACCAGTACACTAAGCATTGTTAGAACATAAATCCTATATTACTTATTGGTTTAGGTGGATAAAGTCACTTATCAGTATGACAGCGTAGTTAGAAATAAACTCTAAATCAAACAACTATTATTACTGGTTTTCTTCTAGTTATCGTAACCATTTTTTGCCAAATTGCTTCACATACTTTTCCTCTTAAGAAAGCCTTCTTTCTGTCTACTTCTTCATTCCACAGGGTCCGTTGTCCTGTGTCGCCACGATCACCTTGTAGTAGAATGTTAACATTAACTCCATTGACACCTGCGTTCCAAAGGTTGCCAGTCTTTGTAATCAGTTGATATTGCATTACTGAAAAGAGAAGAAAATGATGCCTTGAATGTGTCAATACAGAATGTCGTTAAAATTAGTCTAAGCATTTGTTAGTTTATGGCAGTTGTTATACCTGAATGATAAATATCAATTTGCATTTGTAAAATTATGCGCATATTGAAAAACTTCACTTTGCTAACTACTGAAATCTTAATCCAGTATTTCATAAAAGTGTGATGTTTAGCAAATTTGAAGTGGGCTAGTAGGTTGAAAGACGTCCGCTAGTAGTCTGTGGTGTCCAGTAAGAGATCTTTGTGTATTTATTTGCACATAAACGACATTTGCGCAGTGATTAATGTGGATTCCACTTCGTACTGATATTGTCATCTAATCATCTCATCATGCTAGTCTAGCTCAGATATTTTCATCAGTGTCGGTTATATTAGTCATCCATTCTTGTTCACATATTAGTTTAATTCTTTATAGGCTTCTTCCGCCACAAATTGATTCCAACTGACCTAATATTTATTCATTCTTTCACTTGCAGTTAGACTGGAATTCATTTACTTAATTGCCTTCAGTGTTTCGATGAACCAATGTCACTTTAGTCGACAATGCAGGTTCATTAAGCTGATGAGTAGTCAGTCCTTCATTCTACTGCTATTGTTTTATTTGAAAGTGTTTATTAACATATTTAATTGAACTGTAAGGTACTAATGAGAAACAACTTGATTACAATGAACACAAATTCGTCTGCCAGATACTGCTTTTAACAAAATATATAACCACTGTTACGGCTTACGCAAATTATCTGGACTGTTCCACATATATGAATACTAGCAGTGACACTAGGCGTCATTCTAAATACTATGCTTAACACTATTTAAGGTAGTATCTGTCATAAATGCTAGTAACAAACTCACTGCATCTTCAAATATCCTGAAATGAAAGTGGTCGTAAGTGTTATCTTGACTTGAATCGGTTGGATCACCGAAACGTCAATCAAGGTATTCATCTGAACAAAATAACAATCTCCTTCATACTTTTACTTAACATCCTTCAACGATTTGGAGTAGACACATATAGAAGAATTAAAGATATTGGGGAAAAGAGTGATTGATATCGTTTGGTGTTTTCCGAGATTTAGTGTTTCATCACCAAACTTGATGATATCTTCAGCACTAACTTTTGTAAACATGCTTCTTATACTATCTATTGGTTATTGTTACTCAGCTTCATCATACCACTTTTGTGAATAAATAGCCTTCATTCTCTTGTATTCAGCTTACCAGAGTAACCGACACAAGTCACTTCAACAACAGTCATTTGTTCGAGAAGTCTTTTATCTTAATTTTGCGTCTCTTTGTGTTATTCTTCTTTGTTCATAGTTATTCTGAATGCACAGGTATTTGTTCCTTTCATTCGCTTGGTACTTTATTGACATTTGTCTCTATACAACCATATTAAGAGGCTTGAAATTAGTGTGGTACTGAGCTTGCGAGACTCCTGTGTATCACATGGATGAGGTACTAATACTGCTTTATGTATCCAACAGCCATGTATACATAAATTTAGATATATATATTCCTAATTAAATTCCCTGTTGGTGAATGTTTGACGGAAGAGAAATCAGGATGACTGCAAGATAAAAAGGTCAAAGCTGATGACAAACGTCTTTTCCTTTTTAAAAACATACATTCAGACATTTATCTGGCAGTGAAAATTGTGGAGTACTTGTGGATTTTTGCATAGAATTATCATGACAGTCACCCTATTTCTATTCACCTCATCTGTTAATCACTTTGATGCTGAAACTAACTACTTTCAGTCACTACACCGATGACTCACTGGAGTATCTGATCTGTCTTATTTTGACAGTGAAGGGTAGAAAAATATCAGTAGACAGACGATTAGCCCTGGGATCATCCTGATAATCGAGGCTCAAGAAATACATTTTTGAGTTAGATATCGTTACGGGCTGATATCAACTAGAGTACTGTTGAAGACCAAGAAATACTGAATAGCTGTTTCGTCCTAGTCGGGGCTGTTCGTATCTGCACGTATCCATGGATTCACCAGAGACCAAAACCAGAGCATTCAGTTCAGATGATCAGGTGACTCTGTTATCAGTCAGACGAAGCAATCCGGCGGTCTGAGGATTCAAGCTTCTGCCAGTTCGTGATGTACAGCATCATCACCATCCACAGGTACCATACCACTCAACGGATTCTCTGGCGTTGTAGTGAGAAGTTGTGACCAAGTAGCTTCCACCAAGTTAGATGTGGAGAAAGATGACTACCACATAAGTCATATCCGCACAAACAAACACTCGAGCATAAGATTCTCAATTTAAAGACTTCCGTTGGACAAATCAACTCAGGCTAAATCAGTGAACAGTAGAGGATAACTTGTTCAGTGCTTAACTCACCAGGAGATCTTTCTTCTTGTTGAAATAATGTTGCAATGTCTAAGGGATATGCTTTCAGGATTCTTCCAAATAAGCGTCCTTGATCACGTATTTGTGTTCCAGGCGCAGCGATTTCACGCACTAGACTACCGTCTGCTTTATATCTTGACAACCATCTCATACATGGAAATGTCATTTCACATGATGTAGTGGTTGGAGATGAAAAACTAATTTCTTCTTCTGAATTTTGTAATTTATTTGAAGGGGGATTATTTTGAGAGTACATCTTCAATGAGTCAATTGACTGATTAGCATTACCCGGTGATAATCTTAGGCATATCTCTTCAGGTAACCATTCAGGGTAATTACCGTAACCATCATGACTCAGGCGTATTTTACTGATTTCACCAAAATCATTTAGGGGTATCTAAAAAGGGAAATGCCATAAGAAATTATTAGTTTTTAACTAACTGTAAAAAACATTGAAGAGTGACGCATAATTCTATTGTCCTATTTGAGGATTTAATATTATTCAGTCTTGTAAAGCTATACGACAACGCTTTCCCCTTTAACATGTGCACACATATTCAAATGAATACTTGTCAAACTCCACAATGTAAATATTCGCCTCGTATGAGTTAAAAAAAATGTACGACGTGTTTTTAATGTTGTTATACAATAGCCTTTTGTTAGTGAGTTGTTAAACTTCATCACAAAAATACATAGAACTACTAAGAATGGTCAGTACAGTGAATCACTGTGACGACAATTAGAGTTTGTCTTACAAGTCACTTTTTCTGTAAAGATAACAATAACCTCGTCCTGAAAGGTTTCATTTCGATAGTTATACGGGGATTTCAGGATGCAGTTTGAATACCACCTGTTGTTACAGAGAGCAGTTGTAGCTGTTATTAGCATTCTATAATCCATATCGGTCTAATAGGTAAAAAAACGTCATTTCTGATAAAAGATTTATCTTACCATTTTCATCAACCATTAAGGTATTTCTGCCGAATACACTCAGATTACGAGTTTCCCAACAAAATATACCTGCAGAAATCATAAGCACTTAAACCCAGAATGACTTTTTTAATTCGAATACCTCCATGAAATGAGCAGCTTTAATTGATTTTACAAAGTTTACCCATGAATAACAGATTCCTTTATCATGTTACATGGCGTAAGGATTTATTCTTGAAGAATAACAACCACTGATGACTTGAATCAAATAATACTGGACCAAAGCACCTCTGATAATGATTTAAGTAAGACTGGACAGACTTTTTAAATACCTTCAAAATGATAGGTCAAATAAGTTATGCAAGCTGTTTTAAACACATCCTTGAGAATATAAGATTTCTTTTCTGAGTAAAACAATCAATCACTATGTAGTTTTCGTAAATGCACATTTTGTCTTTTTAGAAACACTTTTTCTCCCTGAATTGAGTAACTGGAAGTGGGACGCATATAATTTGAATTAGTTATTAACTTCGCTATTTTATAAAGTTGAAAATAGGGAAAATGTCGGTGATATGGTCTGCATTAGGACACAAACTTCTGAATTATTTCATGAATCAGTTGTCCACTGAAAATAGATTACCGAACAGCCTCCCTGAAACACTATATTAAAACCATACTGCAGTCCGCTATCGTGAATATCCACAATGCTACCTAGCTCCTTATGAATAGGTAAAGCACTAGAAACACACATTAAGGAAACCAGATAAAGAAGCTGGTATTTTAAGTGGAAGGACGTAAATCTTGGGGTTTCCGAAGATAAACTAGTGTTTGCAGCCAAAAGCATTTGACTGACTGAATCAGAAACACTGACTTCACTCATATTTGATGTTTGAAATTCAGATGTATGTACACGAAAGTGCTACTTGTTAATGAATTTATTCAAATACCTTGTCTTCGACGAATTTCTTGTTCTTGAGGTCTAAATGAAAATTTACAAGTGACGAGGAATTTTTTTTCTTTAGTTGATTTGTAAGGATTAGATTTGTTTTTACGAATTGATATCAGTTAGAGAAGCATTGGAAACCAGAGAGTACTGGACAGCTGTTTCATCCTAGTTTGGGAATCATCGGGAGTACACACCCACTACTAGGGTTTGAACCCAGGACCTTCCGGTTACAAAGCAAGCTCGTATACCATTCAATCACCCGGACCCTATTCAATGGCTCATGAATTCTAACTTCTACCAATTCGTGATTTAGCGTGATCACCAACCAATGCCATCGGTGGGACATCCAGCCTCACACTTGACTGGATGGACCTCACTGGTCACGACTTATCACCAGAACTCCAGGAAACTCCGTCCTGTGGGTATTTTTTACCAATTATTACAAATAGCTGAGCTGTATGGATTTTCTGTCTATTTCAACATACTTCAGTATTTAGTAGACAAAAATGTCTCGAGTACGCTTTTCTCAAGCCTAACTTATAAGCCATAAAAACAAAAGGCTTATGTAGAATATCAGACTGAATTTTGCTGGTTGCATCAAAGCATTAACATCCAGTTAGCAGAGAAAACTCACTTCAAAATAATCAACACTTCCTGGACAAAATGGTCCAGTCAGTGTACTGCTTGTGACATCAGATCCACTTGATTCGTTACCTTGATCAGGTTGTGTATTTCCATTGTTGTTTTGGTTTATTGTACAAATATAAGCGGATTTAAGTAATATAGGTTGAGTAGATTGATATTTATTACAGATTGTAATTGTTGGGTTCGCTGTACAAATAGATGAGTACATTTCACCTGTCTGTGGATCATGTTGACCAGATTTAATGAACACCTGACAGACTGAATAAGCAAAGTTAAAACCGTAATTTCTATGATGCAGAAATATAAGAAAACATGGTTGAGAAATAAATAGACTTGTATGTGAAAATGAATCACTGTTAACAAAAAAATTCGTCATAATTTCATGTAGTGATGAAATGGTCTAATCAGCAATGAATTATTTTTGAGACAGTATCATTGTTTATGAATGCAAGGCTTTACTGGATATGATGACGGTTGAAAAAACAGAATGAATATTCGCACAGTCAAACCTCAGTAGATAATGACTGGAAGTGAAGTGATATCATCCGACTATACAGGTAAGTTGGTACGTTTATTTTGGTTTTGTTTATTTATTAAATTCATGCCAAATTTTACTGTAACATTCTTAGAATATGTCAATTTACAAATATTGGTTTTGTAGAAATTCTGTGTTTGACTGCATGGAGGATTTCATCATGAGCTGACATCAGTTAAGGAACCACTGGAAAACCAGCTGTGAGTACTGGATAGCTGTTTCATCCTAGTGTGGGACTCTTCAGCAGTACGCACCCACCGGGTTTGAACCAAGGACCTTCTGGTTGCAAGGCGAGCTCGTAGACCATTGAGCCACTGGGACCCGATCCAACGGTCCTTGAATTCTAACTTCTGCCAATTCATGACATAGGGCGACTACTTCACAATGTCTTCTTCTTCTGCAGAAGATGCCATATTTCAATTTATCAGACTTGGTAAAAGTGTTAATAAGCTTTATCTCTTTAAGGAATAAATATTTACAGTCGTGTTTCACTAGCGAAACAATTAGTAATCAGACTCATTAGAGTAATATATGATACGATTAGAAAGTCAAAATTCCAGTGAATGAGTCCAGTATTTCAAACTAACAGCACCTCCAAAATGTGAGTTGATCGTTCTCATTCTTCCAAATACGTTTTACCACCCTTACGTTTTGTTGACTTAATGATCTTGTATGCTTTGCCAAAGATACTGCCAATGCATTTAGGAATAAACAGATTCCCTGTTCTTATCGCTACATCTTACAATGGTACGAACCAGTTTCACAGAGCTTTCAATTGTTCAGTGTATATTGTTATGAAGACTTGAAGGATTTTGAAAGGTACTCCTGAAATAGTCATTTCACAGCAGTAGCACATACTTTAGCTGTCAAGTTTATCTTTTATTTACTTAATTATTCTTCAGGATAAAATATCCATCAGTATGAGGTATATCAGTCGACTTTTTTATAACTATCTTATTCCTACATTGTGAGTTTTCAGTTCACATTTTTAAGTGCAAAAGCTAAACTGCTAGATGTGAATAGCAAAACAACGCTCATCTTCACTCCCTTTTTAGTCAAAGATTCAAAAGCAGCAGCTTGTACACAACTAAAAATGATAAATTATAGTGTCAGATGTAAAAGTGCATGCAAATCATATCGCGAAGATGGAGTTTTGATTACCTACAGCTGGAAAAAGGTTAGCTGTCAAGATGTGGTATAAGCCTTAATAAAACATTATTTGAACGAACGAAGCAGTGTCTCTATTGAAAAAATTAAACTCATAGTTGTCAAAAGTAATTCAAACATACAAAAATACTTTATAAAAACTTTTGAAAAATTTCGAAAAAGAAACATAAAAAACACCTGAGTCTCCAGGTTTGTCGATATTGTGGTCTTTACTGTAAAATATTGGGTTTTTGCGCTTTTAGACCTGATAACCGAATAGTTTTCTTGATATGTCTGAATTATACCTCAGATTAGCACCACGGAATCATTTAAAACAAAACAAGTTCATCAAAGTAAATAATAGGCGGAAACAATTGAATCAGACCATCAAAACTTCCGATGAATACATCTGTCAGTTCATTGGAAAATTTGACTAGCACAATCTCACCATTGTAACATTTTGAACTATGCACTGATCCATCACAGTAAGAAGCTTATTTTTACAAAATAAGTATTTGAATTTTCCACATATCTCTCCAACTAATCATGTGGGTACCACAAGAGGAATGATGCATAAATTCAATTTTTCTTTCACCCTTCTTCTTGAGTTTAAAGAAGTCGTACTTCAGCATCACGGCAGACGGGCAGTGCAACTTAAAGAAATATCAAATAATTATGTGTACATGCATACACTGACTGAAAGAGGAAATAAGTTGTACAGGAAAACACTACTAATCCCCTAAAAGAAAAATATGTAATTAAGACGTAGAACAACAGCAGATGCACAGTGTTGATAGAAAAGTGGACAGTGAAATATATGCGCATAATGGTCACAACAATTTTTTTTTAAACCATTACTTGTAAACATTCACTGTCTATCACATTATCACAAACAAAGTGAAAACAAAAACACATGAAAACTACAATTCATTCATTAAAAGATTCGCCAAAAAAAGCTATTATTTATTCATCTAAAGAAAAACAACTATCAGAAGTTATTAGGAATAATTATACACCATCTAAATATCATGCATTATAATCTGAGAGAAATATTTCCTCTAATTATTTATACAGGCGTTAATAGTGTAAATTGGAGGTTTTGCATACTGTTTAGTCTAAATAACCATACCTTCCTCTAGATAAGCGTTCGCATACATGGAAAAATAGATACATCCACGTGTAGGTATATACAGATTGTATGACCAATAAACTAAAATTTGTTCATTAGTCCATATCATGGATTGCTGACTATAAAAATACTGACGGAAAAGATTAAATAAATTATGACTTTAATTGGTGGATGGTGACTAGCAGTGGAATCCAGGATGTGCATTTCGTCATAATCGGGACTCGTCAACTGGATGTACCTGCATTTCTCAGTGAGTGATGATGTTCCCACCGATGCTCGAACCCAGTGCCCATAGTTTCAAAAGCCGAAGCGTTATCCACTAGACCACTTGGGCCACGAGAGCCGCCTCTTATGCGACGTGTCATATTAATTTAATTGAATTTTTGGATTTTCCCGTCGATCGATCAGACCGAAGTGCTCTATCCCAGGTACATCCAGCTGACTTGTCCCAAATAGGACGAAATACGCATCCTGGATTCCAGTGATAGTCACCATCCACCAGTTGAATACTAATTAAAAAGGCCCAGACATCGTCGAAACATCTGCCCAAGAAGCCGACATGTCAACATGAAACCGAGTATTTCGGTCCAGTCAGTCTACAGGAAAGTCTAAAAAATTCAATTAAAATAAATTATGACCGCCTGCAAAAGTATAACATGAAGGTGGTTTACTAACAATGGTGAACAATATTTGTTTGGATAAGCTATGGCGAACCTACGGAACATATCAACAGGTTCTCGCAAGTCGAGCTTATACTTTTCTCTAGAATTTGAGAATATTACATAAAAAACGGCATAATTATTTAACTATCTCTAGTATTCTGGAAGCCACTATTGCAAATATTGTGCACTCCAATTATAAATTCTTATCTTGTTCGTCACTTTCATTTCACAGGATTGTTTTACCAACAACAAAGTTGACAAAGTCAAAATAAAACGAAACTGTACAAAATTAGCTGTAGGGTGTATGCATTGAGTTCTAGTGCATTCCAGAGATTCTATTTTGGTTGATTTCTCGATAAATGACCAAATGAAAGAATTTTGTCTTTTGAGAAATTCATCAGAAAAAGTAACAAATAACTAAACTCAGTAATCATTTTCTTTCTTTAGAACTATGGAGCATCAAATATACGATATTCGCTGTAGTAAATACTTCACAAAATGTACCACTATAATTTCCTATTCCGTGCTGTCTTTCGTTTAGCAAGCTGAACTTTGTTCACCAATATATTTCAAAAAAATTGTAAAGTGAACAAATTGAAAACTGCTGAAGAATTATTAATACATAAGTGATGTAGAGAACAGATGCTAACCTTCGATTACAAATTTGCATTCTAAGTTTTATAAGCTACCTGTGAAAGATCCTCAAGGGAACTTAATTACCAAGGAGGAGAAACAGATTAAAAAATGGGCTGATCACTTCAAAGAAATCTTGAATCGACCATCACCTGCAACTCGCCCAGAAATACACCAACAGCACGCAAATAACTGCCTGCCAGTAGACACCAACAAGTGACATCACTAGACAAGCCATCGCTCGAGTGGAACCAGAAAGAGGGCGGCGAGTTGGTCGTCCAAGGGTGACTTGGAGGAAGTCATGTGAAGAGGAGGTGAAAGCATGTGGGCAGACTTGGAGACAGGTGAAAACTCTAGCAGAGAACCGAACGCAGTGGAGACTCGCGGCCGAAGCCCTATATTCCTCTAGAAATTAAAGGAAATAATAATAGTAGGCATCAATCCTAAATGCGATCAAGCTTCTGAACGCCGATCAGGAAGGCAGCAGGGCCAAACAGAATTCCCTCCGAAGCACCCAGAGTTTGCGCAGATGTCCCCACGACATTACTTCAAAAGGTTTGGAAGGGAGGAGAGGTGCTTACAGATTGGAAGAAAGGTAACCTTGCCAAGCTACTAAAGAAGAGTGACTTAGGCCGTTACAGAAATTGGCGTGAAATAATGCCCTTGTCCACGCCAAGTAAAATACTAAGTCGTATCAACCTAGAGAGAATAAAAGATGCACTGGATGCAGAGTCCCGCCTCATCGGAACAAGCTGGCTGTATTCAGGAAGGGCAAATCATGTGCTGATCAAATTGCAGCTCTACGCATCATCATCGAACAAAGCATAGAACGGCAGTCAAACCTGTATCTTAACTCATCGACTTCGAAAAGGCCGTCATCAGACAACGTTGACCGAGAAGCAATTTGGAAACTGCTTCAACATTGCGGCGTGCAGTGCACCAGCCTATGTCATCCTCATTCAACAGCTGGCTATATGAAAATGCCACGTGTCAGTCAGGTGATTCACAACGGGAAACTCAACGAGGCGTTCGAAGTGCATATTATCCCCGATGATACTCTTAATTGTGGTATTCGACTTGATTATGCGTCAGACTGTTGAGGGCAAGGAGTCAGGAATACGCTGGACGACTGGTGAGAAGACTCTAGAAGATATAGATTTCGCAGACGATATACGTCGAATATCACACAAATTCGAAGAGCTGCAGGCATGCAAAAAACCAACAAACTGATAGAAGAGGCATGCGGCGAAGACAGGACTCCAGGTAGACATAGAGAAAACGGAGGTGATGAGGATAACAAACCAACAATAACAACAACAGCCACCACCAATCACCATCAACGGAGAGATTTGACAGAGATTCCTTCCTTCACTTATCTAAGAAGCACAGACTCAACCACAGACGGAACAGATGAGGAGTTCAAAGCCAGCCAAAATAGGAAAGGTAAAATACAACTTCATCAACCTGAAACCAGTTTCGAAATCTTTTGGACTCAGTCCGAACAAAGAGCAAGATTCAGATTTTAAACACAAATGTGAAGTCATTCAGTCCTTCTATACAGGTCAGAAACTTGCACTGAGTGTCATGAAAAGGATTTCCACCAAGTTACAAAGTTTTGTCAACAGCTCCCTTCACTGATTCTATGTTGAAATTCAAGTGGCCAGCCGGCCAGAAAGAATTCGACACAGGAAACTCTGGAAACAAGTCAACCAAGAACTGATCGCTCAACAGATATGTAGGAGAAAATGGAGATGGATCGGATATACGTTAAGGAAGCCATCAAATGACATCGCGCGAAAGGCCCTTCGAATGGAACCCCATTTGGAAGTGACAAGTGGGTCGTCCAAGGATGACATGGAGGAGATTATGTGAGGAGGAGACGAGAGATTATGATTAATCGTAAACCCAAATGAAGAGGATGGGCAGAAAATAGAAGAAAGTGGAGGTGTGTTGTTGAAACCTTATGTTTCACTCGGAACCAAAGGGAATAATAAATAACATAATGATAATTATAGTACTTTGATGAAAGTTAAAGTAGTGTGATAAGCCTAACTAAATATTCAGTAGGAATGAAACAGTTTTCAACTTATATTAAATTAAAAACTCAGTTTAAGATTGCTGAAAGAATGTATTAAACTCTTGGATGCATTCGGTGGCACAATGGTTAGGACTCTCGCCGACCATGCACATGGTCCGAGGTTCGATCCCCTGCCGACGAACACCTGATATCTATCGTCGGCGTGCAAAATTTGGGCTACCGATATCACATGCTGAAAATTCCATACATGTACCAAAAATACGGTGTGGAATCAAGCTGCAATCAAAAAAAATTATGCACCCTGACAAGTTAAGCGGTTCATATTTAATTTTAGATGATTTATTCAGCTTCATCTCTTATCACAGTCGTCAGGTAAATAACTGTTAATTATTATGTATATATATATATATATATATATATATACAAGAGATTGTCTCATAACCTCAAAAAACTTCAAATAATCCTTACCAGTGTATCCAGCATTTGAATCACATACTTTATCTGACTGTTCATAAGTCTGCTTTATTGGGGGTAGAGCTGAGCTACTCCGTGATCTAGTTTGATTTTTCGTACGACTTACACTACGACTGAGGCATCTAGCCGGTTGTTTTATTTCTTGGATTGGACGAAAACGCTCCAGACCAGCCGCAACAAATTCACTTGGACCGTCAAGTAGTTCGCGTAATGTCTCTACCTAAAATTAAACAAAATAATTAGGAATAAAATTGTTACAATTCATAAAAAAGACTGATTCATAAACTGCAAAAGTAAATTGTCAATGTGCTATAAATCCACTATACCAAAGTCAGTTTTTATAAGGACTATTTCGTAGTTACGTACTGTGTAGTTCTGGGATTCTGAACAATGAAATTTAAATGAAATTCACTCAACATCAACACTTTTAGACGAAGTTGAATTGTAGTGTGCACATTCACCGAAAAATGGTTAGAACAAAGGTACTATGACTGAGCCTTTTTGCACGAGAAAGGGAATATTTCAGAGATAGTTGTGACATAACTGGTAGGAAGACAATCTAGTTAACTTTGTCGTGGAAGACAGGACAGGTGAAAAAAATGAATTGGTAGCAGAGGCGACGTTCATGTTGATATTTCTCTCTAATTTATGTTGTTGCTAACAGATATTTTCAATGTCTGTAATACAAAAATATAAGGTCTGGCCATAAAATCCATTATTGGCCGTTAAAGTGCAAACGGAACAATGTTAAGGAACTATTTTCAAGACTGTGATAACCACGGTGCACGCTAATCCTTTTCTAACGAATCTTCATCTACCGGTTCATAGATTGGTGCTACCCTTAACACGACCAAAAAATATCTGTTTAATTCTGCTTTCTCCTTTGTAACGTATACGAGTCCTTTCGATGAACCCTTTAAATCTTTAATTTTATCTCTGTTAGTTTGAGAACACTATACCAGCACACTTTTTTTCTACTGATCGTTTGATCCGAAACTAGCTAAACATCTACAATTTTTTTATTACAGCTTGATTCCACACTGTACTTTTGGTACAAGTATGGAATTTTCAGCATGGGTATCGGTAGCCCAAATTTTGCACGCCGACGATAGATATCAGGTGTCCGTCGGCAGGGGATCGAACCTCGGACCATGTGCATGGCCGCGAGAGTCCTAACCACTGTGCCACCGACGCACAATATGTGTGATACATACAATTATTTTTTTATAACTTCCCATAAAAAATGTTCGAGATTGTAAGTAAAGTAATGAATGCATAGTGTGAATATCCTCCATTGTATAGAAAAAAATCTCTATCCAACCTTACGAAGTTTCACCACTGCCGAAGACAAAGATTAAACAGTATACATAATTAGGCAATAGATAAAGAGACGCTTAAGAATTGGTTCGTCAACAATTGTGGTTAAGAAATAAGAAGTGAAATCAGTCGGGGTCTCAAGCAAAAAACTCTCTGCTTGATTATGAGCATTTCATTCTCATTCTTTTGAGGTAGACACTACTTGAGAACAGCTATCTACCACGCTTTATAGATAAACATATAAAGCTGAACATCAACAAGGAACAAGTCACCCCTGTGTCAAAGAAGATGCGATACATGAAGGTGGTGTTCAAGGCGACCTTCTACCCAACATCCTAGAGAGAAGAATATCTAACACCCTGAAAAGAGCATTCCCTGATGCTACATTACGATTTGTATTCTCAAGCCGCCAAAGATAAACTATCACATTTGACCACTTCTTTGTGTATCTACCAATTTACTTGCTCATATGAAGCGAGATATACAGGTCGTTCGATGTGTTTTTTCTATCCAAAGGAGTCGAAGAACATTATCCCGCTTGATTACGAAAAGATAATAGTGGATCAATAAAGAGTGCTAAAATTGAACATATAGGCAACACTGGTCACTCAATATGCACGCAGAATTCATTCAAAGTCAGAAGAAGTCTCCGAAAACAATGAGCTTCTTTATACTTTGCATTGCCGAGGCCTTAGTGATCTGGATAGAAAACCCTCATTTATTTACACAGAAGAAACTTGTTCACCCCTTCCTTCTGCTTTAGGTATAATACCGAGTTCTACATTATTATTATTATTATTGTATCCTTTAATTCCTAGAGGAGCATAGGACTTCAGCTGCGCACTTCCATTGCCTTCGGTTTTCTGCCAACCTTTTCACCCCGCTCCAAGTCTGTCCACATGCTTTCATCTCCTCTTCACATGAACTCCTCCAAGTCACCCTCACACTGACGACCAACTCGCCGCTTCCCTTTCGGCCTGGTTCCACTCGAGCAATGACTTGTCTAGTGATGTGACTTGATGGTTTTATCAGAGTATGGTCAATCCATCTCCATTTCTTCTTGCATATTGTTTCACAATCGGTTCCTGCTGGGTTGGTTCGCTCATTTCCAGATATCCCTGTTGCTGATCTTTTCTGGCCGGTCATCTAATTTTGAGTATTGAGCGAAGACAACTTTTAATGAAGGTCTGATTTCCGAGTTCTACAACTTTGTTAATAATGTTTTGTTTCCTGTTTTTGAATTTCTGTATGGCATCTTAGTAACTTCTTCTTAACCAGCCCTTTATTTACTCTTTCTACCTATTGCATAATTTATTTTCTGGGTAAGCGTCTCCATTATCATCCTATTTCATATTGCGCAACCCCTATCATTACTTACCAATCTTCAACCCCCTCTTATTATTATTTTGATTATTCACCACAATTTAGAAACATTCTGATGACGTAAATAGTGACCCTAACTAATTGCTGTTTTTTGTTTGACAATCCTAATGTACACACATGCACATACATAAATGCAATTGTACAGCTGTACTGCGTCGGTGGCACAGTGGTTAGGACTCTCACCAGCCATGCACCTCGTCCGAGGTTCGATCTCCTGCCGACGGACACCTGATATCTATGGTCGGCCTGCGAAATTTGGGCTACCGATATCCATGCTGAAAATTCCATGCATGTACCAAAAATACAGTGTGGGATCAAGCTATAATCAAAAACAAAATTCACCGAAAAGAGACTCCTCGCTGAATTTTGTTGTTCATATAATTCCTATACAACTGACTAGTAAAGTTTAAAAACATATGCAAATTTTTGATCAGATGTTGGTAACAGGTGGCAATTACCTAAATTAATGGAGAGAATGGACCTGCCTGAATATTTGCATTTGACACTGTGGTTGTTACTGATACATTTAGTTGGCATTTTGTATGTGAAGAATGCAGGGAATTTGCACTTTCATTATAGATAAGATTTATTTTGATGAATCACACAATGTTGTACAGTAATATTTACTGATCACGTTTCCAGCGCTAATTATTAATCACAATTATATCAAGTCACTCACACAACGTTTTGCTTCATTTATATACATGAGTAAAATTGATGACTAGACATTTGAATAAAATCAATATAAGATAAAATACATTCAGAAATAATATTAGCGTTATCAGTCAAATACAATAAGCTGGGAAATAAGATGTTTTTTACAGTAAAAATAAGTAACTTGTTAGAGTGTTATGATGTAAATTGAATACATTTTAACGTTATCCTCTGATTTGAATGGTAGTAATATCTTCCATCTGCACTTTCGTCCCAAACTTTTCCTGTTAGTAGTACATATTAAGGGTTTTCACTTAATTTGTTTCATTCTCTTTTAAATGAAAACACTATGTTGAGTTAGCATGAAGTCATGTTGTTCGATAGGTGTTGCTTCATCTTGTTGATCAGTTGATCAACTAGATAAGATCATCTACACATAGTACTTAATATTTATTATAGAATACATAGTTTTCGAAACTGTCATAAAAAATATTAGCCTGCATTTACATCCCGAGAGCATAAAGTTTTATGAAAATAAAAAAAAAAGCACATCTAACTAGGCATTGTATTTAGCGAACAAATTCCACTCTCCATGATCTGTATTCTGTCTACTTTGTCAGACTGAACAAATTTACAGATCAATCTATGTCAAGAATGGAAAGTGTGAAGTTTAGATAGATTCATTCGAAGTTATTCATTTGAAAGACTAAGGTTGTGAAATATTCTAATTTAGATTTTTTTTTAAAGTATTAGAGTAGGTGATCAAATCGTAGATGAAGGTGGGAAAAACTTTCCTACAATATTTATTAGAGTATGCATTTCAGTGAATCTAATTTAAGTGAACACAACAAAATGTCAGATATATACATATGAATTGGTTGTCTAACGTGCTGTCTCTTTTTTTCACTTAATCATTTTACTTCACGATTCAGAAGTGTGGTTAGTAGTTGAGAAATCTGTAAGTTTTTATCTCCAACCTAATGTAATGAACACCATAATATCATGATTGTGCATAAACTCGTGTGCTAACAACAGGTTTGTTTTAGGCATAGTTATCATAGTTTGGTTTGTAAGGGTTTGTTATGTTTTTACGAGTTGATCACGGATTGATATCAGTTAGAGAAGCATTGAAAACCAGGGAGTACTGAACGGCTACTGTTTCATACGAGCTTGCCTTGTAACCTGAAGGTCCTGGGTTCGAATCCCAGTGGGTGCGTACTGCCGATGATTCCCAAAATAGTTATCATACCTAGATAGTTAGTTTTTCAGTGATTTAATTACATTGGGACAATAGTTAGTAATACATCTGCAGAAGTATGTATCTGTTGCACTTTAGCCCTTGATTTTGCTTCATTTATTGGTTCAGTCGATTCTAGAGTGTGCTTGTATAACAGGTAAATGCTAAATTAGAGGCAACAGATGTTTTATAATGAGACAGTCTAAGTTGTAAATTACACACAACTATTTGGATGATTATAATAGGCGCCAGGTAATTACCGATTTCAATTTAATGTTTTCTATTTATTTTGCTTTCATTATAAAATTTTCCTAAACATTTTGGTAAATTCCATTTAAACGGATGCTTTTTATCCCTACAGTACACGTGCATGATAAAGAGGAAAAAGATTACTTGAATTATGCTCTAACTACTATGGTTATCTGTACACATATTAAGAGAAGGTGGACAAAGTGACTAAGTGATGTTCTTGACTTCGCTTGTCTATTTGCTATCACTACTCATCTATTATTTGAATGGAATGCAAACAGTAGAACTCGAGATTTCCTCATTTGACTATACAAGTTTAAAGATTACTGTCTTAAAATAGAAACAATACTCGTCATATATTGCTCATTTACACTGTTACC